CGATTCAGACAAGTTCTTACGTTCTACAGTATAGTTTCCGAACTTTCGTGAGTGACTCACAGTCAAAGATTGGTTCAACAACATCAAAACACGATTTGCAGTAAGTCACTGATAGATTTGTAATAAATCTGTGGTACGATCAAACAACAACAAGTTATATATATATATATATATATATATATATATATATATATATATATATATATATATATATATATTACAAAAATACCTCAACAATGTCGCTGGGCAGCTATACAGTCTAAAACGTTCTCTGGCACGAATACGTACTGAGAATGAATAAGAATATTCCCAACAAAATGGGATCAAAATCCTGTCTACAATAGCCAAATCAGTCAATAAACGTTTCCAGTAGATGGTCCAAAAGACAAGTAGTCAACTCACAGCACAACCTTAAGTTGAGCCAAAACAAAATGTCGGCAGCAGTAAAACAACGTCACGTTGTCAACACGGTACAGCATCACGCAACAGCAAAGTGAAGCATTAAGGACAATTCTCAATTAAAAGAAAAACAAATAATGAGTGTCAAGTCAAAGAAGACAAGTAAATGACAAAATAATATTACATCGGTTCAGGTCAAAAGCATGATATCCATAATGAGGGTAAAAATATTCAAGTAAATATCAATACTGTCAAATATAGTGACCAGAAGCGATTCTCAAACCATTCTTTCCGTTACAAGGTGTTTGTCGATTACTTGTGCAGTTTAAGTGTCTATCCGATTAATTTTGCGCATCAAAGGAGTTATTAATTGCTGATCTCCTCGTAAATGGTCTAATAGCATACGGAAGTCATAACGAATGTTGTTCTTCAAGAAATTCGTTGCCAGTGAAATATATGAGGAAAATGAACTATGATGAAAACTTATCCAATTACCCGGAAATCTGAACATCAAACAAACGGGATTTCATCAAGAACTTTGATAAACTGCATCATCTACATAAAATTGTAGCATCAAATACTTGTCCAGAGTCAATAGCCTAGCGTCCGACGAGATCCAACAATGGTGCTAACCTTCACAGTTTTACCAGACTCACTAAGCTGAAGGCACACGATCAAGCATCCAGGACATTTGATACGTTGTCGTGTTACGCTCCACTGCTCGCAATCGACCCTCTAGCCAGCTACTTGGGACGGATTGGTATTTCGGCAAGACGTCGCAAATATACTATTCCATCTGACTACACTTTTGTGTTCTTCCTTGGTCTTGTATTCGTGGGTATATTACAAGTACGAATAGTTAGTGATTCGCCTCTGCGTTTGTCGAGTTGGCACAAGGACAATTCCTAAAGCTTAAATGATGACACCAGGGCTGGAATGAAGAATATATATTACCGATTTTCAAGATTGCATAGTTTGCCATAAGAATGAAATTGTGTTGCCACGAAATTTACTATCTAATAAGTAAGAATTGCCAGTCCCATTCCTTCATTCAACTGTGTCACCATATGAACATTTATCTATCATCGAATTACTCAAATTTCTCGACGATCAAAATGGCAGCGAAAATCTGGACAAACAATTAAATGTAAGAGATAAACTCACCTACTGACTCTGAAGGCAACATATTCACAACAAACCTACGCAACAAATTTTTGTAGTATTTCATCTAACAGAGAATGTACCTTCTTGATAATGTCGTATACTTTAATGTTAATATTATGTAAAACCCATCACCACTGGTCTGAAGTTCTTTAGATGTTTATTCTTTTGCACCACAACATATAATTCTAACGGTGTAAATCTATATCACTGTGAATGGTACCACTTGAAGAGTGGAAAATGCTTGAGCATAGATAATCACTTGGATTACATGATTATAGGGAAACTTCCTGAAATCATCAATGTGGTTGTTTTGGTCACTGAAGCTAAAAACATGAGAATTTATGGTAGAATATACGTTTGTCTGGCGTAACATAGCACTATGAAGATAGAGTCAAATATGTTGACTGCTTGTAACGCAAACTTGGAATACTGCAGGACCTTGATGCAACCTACGGTAAAAGGGATATGACTTTTCAATAAATATCATTGTGATGATGTCTGTAAACTGGATCCCCTCACGTTAAATTCATAGTGTGAGAATATGATGACTCACTGGATAATAATAGTAGTAATAATATGATAAAAGACATAGGACGCTTACATGTATTTTTAACCAACCAACACCGATAACTACATACTAGGAGCAAAACAGTAGTGTTGGCCGACTAGTATTAAACCAATGCAGTAGTGTAGATAGGTTTACCATTGACTAAAGGTATAGATGATACGTACAACAGAAAGTAAAGTTATTGCAGCTGTTTATAACGATAAGTTGTTACATCACTTGCATAAACTCATCATTGTGTTTGCTATTTAATGACTGGTGATTCACAAAAGTGGCGCAAAAAACAAAGTTGGAAACATCCACTCATTTGCACAGTGAACCAGACGACGTTGAACTGCAAACTAACAGTAATTTGAGGAAAAGATGTATCAGAAGTCCATGTGTACGACAGTAAAAGCGTCTAATAACCTCCAACGTAGCTGTAACCAATGAAACAAAATCTGACAACAAAGAAACTGAGTGTTATGTCGATCGGTAGGTAGTGTTCTATGAGATACGACATTGATGCTGATATTTAAAGTTTCGACCGACTCGCTAAGCTGAAGGGATACGGTCAAGTATCTATGCCATTTAGCAAGTTGATATGTAACGTTGTGCTGCTTATACGCGATCTTCTCGCCAGCTAGTCGGAACGCATCGATGTTTACTACTCCACCTGGGTATTTTATTTCGTTCTTCCTTGATCTTGCAGTCATGGGTATATAACAAATACGAATAATTAGTCATTGGCTTTCGCGTAAGATTAATTCCTGAATACTCATTGGTCCACATATCAGTTTATTATACGACGACGCGATCATACAACATTAGGTGTGCTTGCTGCTGATTTTTGTGGTTTATTACCATTGTGAAATCCCAGTTTTTGCCTCACATTATCGTGTTTTTACACTGTCTAATGCAGGTGGATCAGCTGTGTTCCGGATAATAAGAAAAGCGGTAGTATTTCGAGAACCCCATATAAAAGTTGGAATCAGATACAGGACTCAAGACGTCACTTGGGCAGTACAGGACATCAGCAAGTTGACACCACGGAATCCCTTGTAGTGGTGAATAGACGAAAACCACACTTATTCCAGATTACTGAGGCTGTCGCCATCCTATGATACTTCATTACATACCGAGGAATTTGTTTCCAGTCTCATGCCTTCTATTATTGCACAGAAAACTCTCGGGGAAAGCATTAGTTATGTGCAGGACTAAAAATAACTCACTATGACGATTCCTCCGAAATTCCAGTAATTAGAATACTGTGATTACAAACAGGAGGATGGAATATACAACTGATGGCTAGCAGAGGTATTAACGAGACATAACGAGAGATCGAAATCAGTGACACGAGCAAAATCGCCATAACTACTCTTAAGTTTGCTCAGAGTTAACAATCAAAATAACGTCTACAGTCTTTAAACATTTTAAACAAAAGACATTCAACAGGTCTATGAATCAGACTAAATAAAGACAATTATTTGCAGCTGAGTAGAAACGCACTTGAAGAAGTATAGTAATCAACCAGAGAAATTATACGCGAACGGTATAAAAGCTCCGTGAAACAACCGAACCGCTGTGTATAATGTGAACGTTGGATCACATTCATAATCAGTCCAAAGTGCTCAGACGAAATCTAAACCTTTTCAAACTGTCTACTTGCAATGAAACGCATTGAATCATTAAATACTGTTTGTTCGTCTACCTATGAATGGCTGTCATTTGTATTTTGCGGCTAATATACCGATCACTAGGATCAACACCATTTTTTGCCTGAACTTCAGGACAGATCAGAAAGATAAATCAACGTAGAATCTCAAACACAAGTGCATCGGTTCAAGGTGTCACAGTTCAAAGTAGTACACACAGAACGAATGGATAGGAAATGGTGAGAAAATAAACAAGATAAAGGTTATTGTGAATATTCAAGCATTAAATGTCAAGAAATGAATACATTTGCACCATTATGACCGACTGGTTTTCAGCCACGTATGTCAACAAAAGTCCTCAACCATTGATACCGTTCGTCTCGGGTACCCCAACTTGGCAGCCTAAATCGCCTCACACGGCTCAAACTAACAGCTGGAGACTTCATGGAGTGGTGACAAGTCTTTGTCTGACCATCTTAAACCATCTTTCAAACTAATCCAACTTCCCCTAGTGTCGCACGTCAAGGTAGGCGGTGGCTCAGCATGCACAGCACATGTCTAACCCATCTCAATCTATGATGGTTCACAGCCTTATCAGTCGACTTACCTGTCTTATCTAGTACCCTCCACCTGAACAGATAGAAAACCGTCAGCTTACAGTATTTGCCCTATCACCAATAGTAACTTTGCATTATTATCTTAAGAAATACAGTTAAGACCAATAGCATCAAAGTGGATTGAACAACTATAACCTTATTATTCTGCGTAGTTATCCAACTATTTACAAGGTAAGGATATATTGAAATACACTACAGTATAAAAACAAAGTTTTAAATTCCTTGCTATTTACATAGTAGGAGGTTGAAAAGATAAGTGATCCTTCAGATAAAAAAAAAATCAAAACGAAAGGAGAAACAATAGAAAATCAAGATTTTAGTCTCAATATAACATTATATAGACACTAAATAAATGATCTAAATGGGGATAGAAGTTGTCCATAGACACTCGTGAACTATTTACACAAAAACTTGAGGTTGCGTTCATAGTTCAATCAATCAAAAGGAGTTTTTTCATCGGAACTCATTCAGGAACATACACTCAACACTGCGAAGTAACAATCGCACATTGTTTATAATCTAAACACACACTGTGAACATCTCAAATGACAATGATTCGATTTGATTGCACACTTACTTATAAGGCAAGACGAAATATCTGATGAACTATTCAATCACTATTCACACAGGTTCACCTATTTCCTACAACAAAACACACAAAAATTCAAAAGAATTAGTCCCTTTAATAAGTTCGATAACGCTATTAGAAGACGAAGATTATCTGAAAAATGTGATGTGTATTTCCTCACTACATTTCGAACAATCTGATCACACATTTACTTGTCGAGTCAATTTATATATGAAAATGAAAAGTCAAATATAATGAATATGAAAAGAAATATGGATCATTCGATTCTGACCCAGTGGCTCGATGGTAACGTGCTGGCCACGGGACCTGAAGGTCGCAGGTTCGATCCCTGGCGAGGTCGTGGGTGCGCACTGTTGAGGAGTTCCATACTAGGACGAAACAGCTGTCCAGTCCTCCCAGGTTTCCTTTGTTCCTCCAACTGATGTCAGTCTACGATGAATAACAACTTGAAATATTTCCAAATCTCCACAACTCCCTCAAAGAATATGAAAAGGTTGTGACACTAGTCTTGGTAATCTAATCAGATCGAGATTACCAAGGTAAATTAAGTGAAACAACAAATTGTTTTTGTACACACAGCGGGGACTTAAGTCTACGAATGGCTAACGCTTCAGCAAACTTCAGTATACGCCCCCTGATTGTTCCTGTGTAATATCATGAAGGCTGTTTTCGTATTAACCCTGTGATTCATTTCAATGATATATTTTGTTATAGATGACGATGGATGTCTGTCACCTGGACTTATCAATGTTTGTGTGTTGAATTGCTTTTCAAGCCATTTGGGTATGTGTTCACCCACCCTAGTCTGCATTGAACGATTACTCCTCCCTATGTATGTGTGCCCACACATACATGTAAATTGGTAAACACAGTGGGATGTGACGTAATCATTTGTGCGAGGTTGGGGTTTGTGGCGAAGGCAGTGTTTTGTCGTCTCAACAATGATAAGCTGAGTTGCATAGTATGTTTTACTGATAACAGGTCTTAATCTCTGCTTCAAAATCATACTACTTGTTTACCCTCTGTATGGTTCTTTAAGAAATATGCTTTTCGTCGGGACCGAGGAAACTGTAGGCTTTGGAGTCAACTGTTTTTTTACAATGGTTGACAAACTGTAATGGATAACCGTTTTCCACTAGAGTGTCTGTCAGGAACTTATTCTCATCATCCATCGTATCAGATGTAGAAATACGTTGGACTCTATTAAAGAAGCATCTTACCAAGCCCCTCTTATATTTCATCGGACAAAAACTGTCGAAATTCAAATACTGTCCTGTCCAAGTAGGCTTCCTATATATTGATCGTCTGATAGATCCATCTTCCCTCCGGCATAAGAGTATATCAAGAAATGCAAGTTGATGGTCTTTTTCTTCCTCACATTTCAGACTGATATGATCTTGTACGGTATTAAGCCTTTTCAACAAATTCTTGGCATCCTCATTTGTGTCACATATTACAAAGATATCATCCATATACCTTCTATAGAATGTGACATTGGTGATTAGATCTTGAGCCATTAGTTCACTATGTGGCATATATACATCAGCTAATAACGGTCCTAATGGACTCTTTATGGCTACACCATGAATTTGACGAAAGTGTTCACCTTCGAAAGTGAAATGAACCTTATGAGTACATAATAAAATGAGCTCTTTCAGATGTATTGAAGCAATAGGGAAAGAAGGATAATTCGAAGATATATGGTCGCAAAGAATATTAATTGTCTTCGTTAGAGGCACATTTGTAAACAAAGAGTTGACATGAAAAGAATACATTTTCTTATTTTTGATATTCAAATCAGTAAGATAATCAACAAGTTCAAACGTATCTTTCAGTGAATGCCTACACAAACCATTACTAATCGGGCTCAGTAATTTGGCTAAACATCTCGCCAATTTGTGTGTGGGAGACTGACACACTGACAATACTGGGCGTAGTGGATTATCAATTTTGTGAATTTTTGGAAGTCCATATAGATTTGGGAAATTCGATCCCATGGGTTTCAAGGAATTAAACTCCGCTTTAGCAATGACATCCGTGTTAAGGAGTTTAACTAGACTAGTTCAATGCAGACTAGGGTGGGTGAACACATACCCAAATGGCTTGAAAAGCAATTCAACACACAAACATTGATAAGTCCAGGTGACAGACATCCATCGTCATCTATAACAAAATATATCATTGAAATGAATCACAGGGTTAATACGAAAACAGCCTTCATGATATTACACAGGAACAATCAGGGGGCGCATACTGAAGTTTGCTGAAGCGTTAGCCATTCGTAGACTTAAGTCCCCGCTGTGTGTACAAAAACAATTTGTTGTTTCACTTAATTTACCTTGGTAATCTCGATCTGATTAGATTACCAAGACTAGTGTCACAACCTTTTCATATTCTTTGAGGGAGTTGTGGAGATTTGGAAATATTTCAAGTTGTTATTCATCGTAGACTGACATCAGTTGGAGGAACAAAGGAAACCTGGGAGGACTGGACAGCTGTTTCGTCCTAGTATGGAACTCCTCAACAGTGCGCACCCACGACCTCGCCAGGGATCGAACCTGCGACCTTCAGGTCCCGTGGCCAGCACGTTACCATCGAGCCACTGGGTCAGAATCGAATGATCCATATTTCTTTTCATATTCATTATATTTGACTTTTCATTTTCATATATAAATTGACTCGACAAGTAAATGTGTGATCAGATTGTTCGAAATGTAGTGAGGAAATACACATCACATTTTTCAGATAATCTTCGTCTTCTAATAGCGTTATCGAGACAAAAATTCATGAGAAAAGGTAAGAAATAATTCAAAAGATATACTGACTAGTTGGACGTGGCTCGATATACTTAAGAAGGGTTGAATATCATGAAATACTAACTATAATTGGAGTGATAACCATGAGAGTTTAACCAACATCACATATAGGAGTTGAGTAAACACAGATGGTTAAGCATGAAATATGATATGAATGCATGTAAGGGTAATGAAGTTTCAAATATATGAACGTTTCTAGGGAAATTGAAAAAAATTATTTGCTTACACTCACAAGAAAACAGGCTGTACTGTAATTCGGGCGAATAAGTAGTTATCATTTAATTATCTGAGATAACCGTGGTTTGGTAGACTATTATTTGTACTGCGTGATGACTGAAGGTAAGATGAAAATCTGGAACGCGACCGGATTCAAACCAGCGACCACAGGGTTGTTGACAAGACACTACTGAAGTAAACTGGATCCATTTTATCCCGTACTCATTTTTGTTCTTTCCAGTTTGAATTCAACTATCAGCGCAAAATAAACTATCTACCTGGATTTCAAAAACCCACGTTACAGTATGTCAGTAGCAGCTGTGGCTCATTAGTTTAAGTAGCTGACTTCTAATTAATGGGTCACGGGTTCGAACCTCGGCCTATCCCCATTATCAATTATTTTGTTATATGGTTACCAGGCTAGGAGACTAACCATCAGAATTCACTTTGATTGATGTTAGGTAGTCAGAGGTAATCGGCAGGAAGCTCTGGAACAAGATCAATCGCCGCCCGAATAGCTCAACGGTCACGTTTCTGACTGTAGGTTCAAATCCCCCTCATGGGAAATCAGTCGCTTCAAAGTTGATAACAAGCAGGAAACCTAAGTCAAGCGAGGTATTCTGTTGACTACCTTCAACCATCTAACACAGTTGATAAATGTTATTGACAAAAGGGCGGCTTTGCGTTACCGTTTGTAATTAGTGGATCAGTGAGTAAATGTCTGGTCGTTGATATCTCAGCTATGAAAAACTAAACACTACGATTTGATATTGGAAAAAAATTGTTGGGGACTGAAGAAGCGTCCCGATAGTAAAAGCGAAATACAACAAATTCATGAGGTCATCCATATTGTATCTTTATTTGGTTGTTATTGTCTTAAGCATGTGATTTGGCCTATTCAGTATTTACGGTGACCTTGAACGTGATTGGTTTCCAGAATACCTGATCAGTCTCCTATATTCAGTTGACCCACATGATGAGTCAAACGAATCTGCTCTCACAACCTTTTACAGCAGAACACAAAGTCTGGTGCTCATTGTCTGTACATATAAGCCGATCTCATTCATTCTGTTTTTATGAACTAATTTCGAGCACAAAATATGAAAATTTCACTCAACATGAGCGACTTTAAAGGTCACCCTGTATTACAAAATAAGGAAGAAAGCTAATTGGTTATTTCGGCATTTACTAAGGTCGCCTATAAAGTCACTCTTCAATATGTGGTTATTTCCGAAACATAGATCATACACAAACGGCTAAAGGAGTCAATCAAAGGCTCCTAATCCGAGCTATGCAATAATGTTACTATAAAATAGATAGGAAAAAAAACTGAGTAGTAAAACGTAAAATAGAGCACACTTTGTAGTTTTACCTTTCAAATAACTTAAACGACAACTTGTATGATATTTAGTCGTACACCGTCTCATAAATCTGTCAGAATCGACGTCTTTGCGACTCACTTTAGCATCAACAACTTATCATATAATTCAGTACTAGAGCTGACTTGTATTAAGAATTTTTCTATAAGTTGATCGTTTACCATCTAATGACAGGTTAGCTAGTCCTGTTAGTCGGATGATGACAGTTAGTGGAATTCGGTATGCAGATATACCGATTTCAATATTTGTCACTACTATACAATATGATAGATGCATCAAACAAAGGTACATTTAAAAAATAAATTTCAAAGAGAAAAAGTTAACAACAAACATACTTTCAATATTCGACCGACCATATAAAGGCTACCAGTGACAAGAATATGACAGCATTGTGTATTACTTTTCTCATTAAGATCATTTTTTAAGCCAGTATATTCACATGGATAGGACTGGATAGCTCCTACCGAGAAATATGTCAACTGATGAAGCCAATTTATAAAATTTGATATAGATACTACATGTTTTGATATAGGACACATTATATCATCTTTGTTCTTCCACTCTAATTCAAGCTCAGACCAAATCTTCATGCATAATTCATCACGTGATTCTTTACTAGGCGGAATTTCTAACAGGTAAAAGGAAACCAAATGTGATTAGATCAATGTCTGTATGTTAGTCAACTGACAGTAAACATGTAAACAGAAAAGGAACATGAAGTTGTGTAAGAAGTTCAACCATGCACAAACTACGTATTCACATAATATATACCATCCGATAAGATGATAACATTGTCACAGTTAACATAATTTTACTTCAATATGAAAAATTGTGTTTCAATACAGGCGGCGGCACAGATGACGACGTCAAAACCAGTCAGGATCGTGAACACAGCAAGACAGGCTTCCATTAACCTGAAACCAGTGTGGAGATCGACTGCACTCCACTCACCATAAAGCGTGAACAACATCCGGATTTTCAACACCGATCCAATCAAGTCAGTGCTCCTATATGGTTCAGAGACTTCGCGTGTCACGAAAAGCATTTCCAACAAACTACACATATTCATCAACAACTGCCTACGCTGGCTCGATCTTGAAGCTCAGATGGCCAGAATAATAAGAATAAACAATAAGGAACTGTGACTGGCTCACAACGAACCAATGAAGAACCCATCACCCAACAAATATGCTGTAGAAGGAAGTGGAGATGGATTGAGAAAGCCGACTGTGGACATTATGTGCCAGGCCAGGTCGTCAAGTGAAATCTAAAGGGGAAACGACGAGTTGGGTGTCCGAGGCGAGGGTGATATGGGGATCATGTGAGGAAGAAACGAAAGCTGGTGGGCAGCCGTGGTGCCAGGTCAAAAAGATTACAGAGAAGATAGTGCAATGGAAGCGTGCTACTGAAGCACTATGTCCCACTATGAACCCAAGGGAAAAATAATAATATTAATAATAATAATAATAATGAAAAATTGTGATATAACCCTACGGAATCAACATGTGGTTGTGGACACATTTATGCTGTTAGTAGGCATGAGTCAATTGGAAGAATGCCCAACTTGTTAGGGCTAGTCGGCAAAGCTTTTAACTGTTGGTCTGAGATGTGTTAGGATATTTAGACTACATAGCTAGGGTTTCGAGACGATAAGAATCAGTGACTGCGGACTGACTCTTGGTGACATGGCTGGAAATCAGTCGGTCACAATGGCGCAGATGTATTCACTCTTTGACGTCTTCTGTAGGTTGAATATTCGCACTAAGTTTCATCTTCAAATTGTTTATTCTTTCATAAAACTTTTTCTCACTCTTTAATATCACTCTGATTCTATCCACCTGTTCTTCATGTACTACTGTGAAGTAAAAGCAAATTGAACCGATACACTTGTATCCGACATTCTACAATAATATTTTCGGTCAGTAACTTGTTGGCACTCATCAGCATGAAGCTGGTGTTATTCAGTACCTAGTTCCACACACACACACTCCTCAATTTTATTATTATTATATATCCCTTGGGTTCCTAATGGAACATAGGGATTCACTACCACGCCTCCATTCCACTCTGTTCTCTCCAATCGTTTGAACCTGGCTCCACGACAGCCCACAAGCTCTCATTTCTTTCTCAAACCATGTCCTCCGTGTCACCGTCGGACGCCCAACTCGTCGATTCCCATCGGGGTTCCACTCGAGGGCCTGGCACGTGATGTCCCCAGTCGGCCTTCTCAATGTATGCCTAATCCATCTCCACTTCCTTCTGCATATTTGTTGAATGATAGGTTGTTGGTTGGTTCGTCGCAAGCCAGCCAGAGTTCCTTGTTGCTTATTCTTATTATTCTGGTCATCTGATCTTCAGTAATGAGCGCAGGCGGTTGTTGATGAACGTCTGCTCAACATCTATAGATAAATAGTTTGTAGACAAAAACATATTTTCTTTTCATCGAAAGAAAAAAAACTGAATTACCAAATTGACCGTCATGAGGATTACCGAAAACGACCACGTCAAATCGGGGTTCGCAAGACTAGAATAAAAGGCATGGCAATCAATATAAATGAGTTAGGATAACTATTATTAAGTAATTCAGAAGAAGTAGTACCAAAACATGGTGCGAATTAAAACTGCAAAAAAAAACACATAGAGGATAGACTAAAAACCAGCAAATAATCCAGACAAGATATTAGTGACAGATAGTGGCTAGCAGTGGAATTCAGGACAAGCATTTCGTTTTATTTAGGACTTGTCAGTTGGATGTATCTACGGTGGTTCCCACTACAACTTGAACCCAAGGCTAGTCGCTTCAAACGCCTGAGTGCGATCCACTATGGCATTGGGTCACGATAGCCACTCCTTGTATGATGGGTATAGTATAGTCTTTGATATCACAGCTTGCTAATCTTCGTCGTTGACTGGACTGAATTGATCGGTCACTATTGGCATATGAACTCCTATGCAGATGCCTCGACATTAATCGTATTTTTAAATTTAGAAAGAAAAGGAAAAAAAAGTAGAAGATTTCATTTCCTCATAATCCACTACGACAGAGATCAGATAGACTGTAAGTAGAGAAGAGCAACTAAAAGTATATGAAACAAAGTGAGAACTTTCTTCTCAGAATGGAACAAAGAAGAAAAACAGATCAATCCAGAACCTGGTAAAAAAAAAGTACACTGATTCTCGTTGGTACTATTCACAGAGGTGAGCAAAGAAGTGGATACCAGAAGAGTGATATTAAGATAGACAAGGGTTTACAATAGGAGAAACAAGACTTCGAAGATGATTAAGACTGTATACATCGGTATGATTACGAGGCATATAACCAAAAGTCATCAACCATTGAATCCTATTCTGTTGGGAATGCCCGCCAAGCAGCCTACATCTGCATCCACGGTTCGGAGAAACAGTGTAAAACTTCATGAACTAGCAACCATCAACTTTTTTGTACTTCGGTTAACATTGAACCCTCAAGGTAGATCAACAAAAACAACAGAACATTTTCGAATATGAAAGTAGAAATTTGGAGACTATGGTCGGATATAATTTTTTTTTTTTTTAGATATATCACACAGCGAATGAGAATGATTCTGTTTAGTGGTCTGTAAATATTTCTGAGTGAGATATATGGCATCTTATCAAGGAATGACTAATTATGATATAATACAACACAACAACCACATACAAGTTTGTGTATCAAGCAATCGAATCCTGTCTGTTGTCTACCGGTTAGTGATATTATCTAGCCTCTCAGATGTCAGTTGATACCATGATCTACCAGCTGAAAACCTAGCTCTAATTGAAATGACAAAATAGAATATTTAATTACTCAAGAAGCAAACTATGGATAAAAAGTCAAATGCACAGGTAGTCTACTAGGATTATAGGTATAGAAGCTGGTGACCCGTTAATTCCAATATGACTTTCTCTTATCAGAGCAGCGGACAAATAATTGCAAAAACACTATTGGTTATCAAAATCTGAATCACTGTTCTCAAGTAAGAATTCTTCTCAGAACAATGAAACGATAAAAAAAAATAGGCATCTAGTGTAAAACAGAAAATTTATAAGGAAAAAAAAATGAACGTTTTCATAAGAGACTATTTATGTACAGTTTCAACTTTCTTAGGAAACACAATCCATTCGAAAATTTATGGTATGTTAAAAAAGCCCAACTATCAAAGTTAGTTTCTATCTTTCAGGTTTAACTGTCAAGTCAAGAATTTATCGCCTAATGCATGGATATTCACTGCATAAAGTGGAGAAGAATAACAAAACCAAACTGGACAGTGAGGATAACCAGTTGGAACATACTTGAAGAAAATCCAAAATTCGTACACTAAAAATCGGTTAATCAGTAAAGTGGTAACATTTAGCCAAAAGATCAGATTTCAGCTAAATACCAGAAATCTAGCGTATTCATTGAAAAATGAACAGTAAAAACACACACTAATACAGAAGTAGTATTTATCATAGACTGACATCAGTTAGGGGACCATTGAAAATCTGGGAGCACTAGACAGCTGTTTCGTCCTAGTATGGGACTCCTTAGCAGTATGCACCCACGATCTGGCTACAGATCAAACTCAACACATTCAGATTTCACGTCGAACGCGTCAACCATTCAGCCACTAGGTCGGTTTCCAGTGGTTCATAATCTCCAACTTCTATGAATTCACGATATAGCGAGACTATCACCCAAGGTCTTAAGTTAGCATCCGCTTCACTTACGACTGGTTGACCCCATACGTCACGACTTCGCATTAGAGCTTCATGATATCCATCTGGAAGCAAGTCACTAATGAGCACTATACAGTAATGTATTTTTGAGATGAATGGGGATTTTTTAATTTAGAAGTAGTATTCAGCTGATGTCAGTTCATGATGAATACTACTTCTAAATTTAAAAAAAATCCCCATTCATCTCAAAAGTACATATACTAATACGTTTTTCAAGAGTTCATCATTAAAAGAAAGAAGAAATGACGAATTCTAAGGCAAATCACCGAAATAATGAGGACCATATGAAAATATCTACATCCAACTGATCTTTTGCTTTCAAAGGCTTGATTAAACTTCAGAGGGGAACTATATCCATTTTTGGTTATATTAGAGCAGTGTTCATGAGGGACTAACTTCATTTTGATGAACTATTGAAAATCTGGGAGAACTGGACAGCTGCTTAGTTATAGAATGGGACTCGTCATCAGTGTACACCCAGGACCATCAAGTCTCCTGATCAGCAGCCTACCAGTCCATCAATGGGTCCGAATTCGGCAGTCTACATTCTCCTACTTCTGTCCATTAGAGGTATAACCTAGACATTAACCAATGTCATCGGCGAGTAGTTGTCCTGACACCTGACTTCATTGATTCAACAGGTCACAAGTCCTCATTACAACTTCAGAAAATCCATCTCAAGCATGTTACTAATGGGCAGTCGGAAGTAATTCAACTCAGAGGTTTATGAGGACTGATTTATAAGTAGTAGAAGTAATCATTGAAAAACACCTTTTTCTGCACAGCGGTGTCAAGTGAATTGCTCAACCGATAATGATAATCAGTTTTTAATGGGAAACGCGTAACTACTCATCACTCTTTCGTAAACTATATATATATATATATATATATATATATATATATATATATATATATATATATATATATTTCATCACTCAAAACTCAGTAGTGGCTTGAACAATCACCTCTCAATAATTAGGTAACTTCAACGACTACGGACAAAATAAGCTTCCTCAGGGTAATAAATACACACTGTCAATAAATAGAACCTCGCCTGGTTAATTAGTTCACTAGTTACTAGCCGGTCCTAAGATCGGATAAAGAGGGAAGGTTGGGCATACGGCTAGCAACCCTACCCCGTAAAACCAATCCAATAGATAAAGAAACTTCAAAGCAAAAAGAAATTACAAAAAATAAAAACAAACATTCCTTGATGGAATCGGAGAGGCAAAATGACGCCGGTTGGTGAAAGCCTTCGGGAAGTCAGTCAACCGATATGTCTCCTCTCGATGAAAGCGAAAGTAAGGATGGGGACATGGAATGTCCGCACCATGAATGAACCTACCAAGGCTGCCCAGATTGCAAAAGAGATGAGGAGATAAGGGCATGGAAGTGCTTGGAATCTGCGAAACTATATGGAATGGAAGTTGACTCTCCAAACAGAGTTGTCATATTTCAAGAAGAAAATAGATGAGAACTGATGAGGGAGTGTTGATTAGGAAATTACACTTAGTCTTGGAAAAATGTATGTATAAAAAGCCTTACGCTGAACATATTTCATGCAAATAGTTTCTGCTCTTTATAGCCGAGATGAATGAGTTGATCTGACAAATATGGTTGCCTATTTCACCTGCCTTTTTTACTCTCCTTCCTATGCTTCTCATTTACTGATTGAATGATAACTCAACCTGACTTTCCGAAGGGGATCATCCTATATACTACTAACATAAGTTCGTATAAGTAGTACACACGACAATATGCGCAGTAAAATGGAGTGTATCTCGCCTTACATAATTTTATGCATATAGAAAAGTGAAAAGAGTGAGAAAAACACTGAACAACAATAATAATAAATGAATATGCATTGTACATAGTCTTACGCGTAAAATTTGTAAAAATGATTTTGGATTGCGCATTCCAGTTACAGTGAAAATCAAAATTCGCATAACACGTCTAGTCAAGCAAATAAAAAAATTTCAGATTAACAAGAATATTATACATAACTTTGCATAAATAATTAGAAAATAGAAACATTTGGATTTTATACAATAAAACATATATATCACCTATTACTATCCTATGATATTAGTGGTAAACGATTGAAAAACTGAATTTTTCCTTTCCTTCAGTACTGATTCCAAAAAAAACATGTTGACGTTGATCAGTAGTGAATCAGTCGCAATCGATCACATATACAATTAGAATAATTTTTCGAGGCAGACTAAAAGATGATTTATGCAGTAAAAAGTGTTCTCTACACTCAGACAAACACACAGATATACAACATCAACATAAAACGTAAGACTACTGTGTAACGGTACAAGTTAGCACAATTCAAATCAACATATCAAGCTTGAATGCCGTGAAAAGAAAGATAAAGAAGAGAGAGAGAAAGCAATCAACAGTGGTAGAATGATACATTCAGGCAACTGACATCGATTGTAACCCATATCGCCAAGAGTTTGAAGGTACTGGTTTCTTTTCTCTCTCACGCATAGCTCCCCTGCCCCCTGAAAAAAGTCAGGATATCCTCATTTCCCTACATAACTCAGATTTATTCACGCTAAGAATATCTTCAAAGGATACACAGGTTATTTTGAAACAAATAAAAACTAAAGCTGTTCGCTAACCCATGAACATGCATGATGTATTATTATCGATTAATTGTCCCTTCAGTTCCTAGTGGAACATAGGGATTCACTACCACGCCTCCATTCCACTCTCTTCTCTCCAATCATTTAAACCTGACTCCATGACTACCCACAAGCTCTCATTTCTTCCTCACACCATCTCCTCCATGTCACTCTCACCTCGGACACCCAATTCGTCGTTTCCCATGCGGGTTCCACTCGACGGCCTGGCCTGACGCGTGATGTCCCCGAATGGTCTTCTCAGTGCATACCCAATCCAATCCATCTCCACTCCTTTCTACAGCATATTTGTTGAGTGATAGGTTCTTGGTTGATTCGTTGTGAGCCAGTCACAGTTCCTTGTTGTTTATTCTTATTATTCTGGCCATCTGAGCTTCAGTAACGAGCCAGCGTAGGCAGTTGTTAATGAATATTTGTAGTTTGTTGGAAATGCTTTTCGTGACACGCGAAGTCTCTGAACCATATAGGAGCACTGACTTCATTGGATCGGTGTTGAAAATCCGGATGTTGTTCACGCTTTATGGTGAGTGGAGTGCAGTCGATCTCCACACTGGTTTCAGGTTAATGGAAGCCTGTCTTGCTGTGTTCACGATCCTGACTGGTTTTGACGTCGTCATCTGTGCCTGTGCCACCGCCTGTGGTTGAAACGATGCTGCCTAGGTAGGTAGGTGGGTAGGTAGGTATAGGTGAAAGAGACTACTTCCCTTAGGTTCCTCCCGTTTATAATGATTGGAGCTTGTTGTTGTTGTTGGTGGTGGTGGTGGTGTTGGTTTGGTTATCTTCATCACCTCCGTTTTCTCTACATTCACTTGAAGTCCCGTTTTCGCTACCCTGCCTCTTCTGTCAACTTGTTAGTTTTCGCCTGTAAATCTTCGAGTTTATGCGACATTAGACATAAATCATCTTTGGCAAAATCCAAATCTTCCAGGCTTTATAATGTATAGAGATGAATAACTTGCGGTTTACAAAAACCCCAAGTATCAGTTCATTCCAAGTTATTTTTTGTCGGATGTTTCGAAGGTTTGACTTGAACTGTGACAAATGAGACAGATACTCGGCTATGTGATTCCCTCAAGTATTCTCTTTGAATGTCTTTTAGCCTATTTTGAAAAAGACAACTTCACAACTGAGATATAGAGAATATACTATTCAACGATTTAGACTTGATTATCATGTGATAGCTATTAACCAAATGCAATTTCTAGGCGTTTTCATTCTGCATCTGTTGTGCCATAGGAAAAACACCTAATCATGCATTACAACAAGACAACCGTACACCGATATGGCTAAGCGTCTGAATTCGCGAAAAGGAAAGAGATAAGCTGAATCAGTGAGTCACAACTCCAAACGTTTCCTATAATTAGAGGAATTTTAATCTAAACTGAATCACGTTTCGACTATAAAAAGACCACAAGATCGTATTGTAGCTGCCAACTAGCTAGACTTTTATGCATGCGAGTAAGAAAAACAGAGCCAAATAAGGATTCAATACAGAAAACTTATAAACGTAACCAATGGTATGTTGGAACACAACGACCTTGAATTTTTCTACAATTTTCTAGAAAGGCATTCTCTTTTATTGATTTAGTCTGATAAACCAATCAGATATTTCTTTAAAAATTCACTGTACGACGATTGGTTAGAAATGTTTTCAGGTATTGTTGTGTGATACTTGTTATCTCCTGTTGTTGTTCTGGGTCGAATTGTTCGACCGCTGTTGGTAGATGGGCTCCTGTACCGATGTCTCAATACCTCTCGGATATTCATTATTTTATGATCTGCTTGGTGACTAGCAGTGGGATCTACGATGTGTGTTTCAACTCATTTCGAACTCGTCAGCTGGATGTACCTGTACTCCAGTGAGCGATGCTGTTTCTACAGAGATTCAAACACAGTACTCATTGCTCGATCCCTGTTGGCAGATAGACCTCTATAACACTAACATTCATTCACATGCCCCCTCCCCTTTTCACTCAAACATCTTATTTCTTCATAAACGCATTAAAATATGACTCTTCTGATCTTCTAAACTTAAAAAAAAATAAAATAAGTTAAAAAAGTGATTATTTCCCAAGGTGATAACAATAGGAAATGTAAGTGTACAAAAAGACCCTCAAATATGATAAACTCCAGTGGTATAGTAAACACAAATAAATATTGAGAAAACAATAATTTTCAGTAAAAAGACATACCCAGTATTACAGGTCTTCAAAGTTTGATTTTGAAACCAATTAGTCGCAAACTAACAAAAAGCAAAGTTAAAAGTATAGGTGAACAATGACACTTTTTAACATGAGTTTAATGAAGGGGGTAGGGTAAATAAAACAACTGCGATGCTTCAAGGTAAAATGAAAATCTACACCGCAGTAGGATTTGAATCAGCGACCTCCAAGTTATCGAGTAAGCAGTGTGAATACGAAAAACGGACAGTAATGTATAATGAATTCACATAGTAGTCAGACAAAACTCTTGATGATTGAAATGGAATTAAAATGTGATCAGCGGCTAGGTCTGGAAGCACTGGGTCCATGACCTGAAGGTCGTGGATTTGAATCCTCCGGTGGCGCAGATTTTCATCTCACCTTCAATCAACACTAAGTATCAATCAAATATTCGACAATCGAATGGAACCTTTGATTCATGTGTTCTAAGTTGTATAGTTTAAACATCAACGTTCCACTAAACTCTGTACAAAGTTTACAGAATTACACATGTAGGGTTGGAGAATAGTGACTGGACACAAACAATATCACGTCTTTACCATAACAACCATGTTGATCAAAGCCGTTCCAGCATTCTACTCTAATACGTAAATAAATAGAAACTAAAACTGCATATCGTCAATATCGAATGCTCAAAAAGTGGTTATGATGTCTTAGTAGTTAGGCAAAAACTAATAAGTTGACAGAAGAGGCAGGGTAGCGAAAACGGGACTTCAAGTGAATGTAGAGAAAACGGAGGTGATGAAGATAACCAAACCAACACCACCACCACCACCAACAACAACAACAAGCTCCAATCATTATAAACGGGAGGAACCTAAGGGAAGTAGTCTCTTTCACCTATACCTACCTACCCACCTACCTACCTAGGCAGCATCGTTTCAACCACAGGCGGTGGCACAGGCACAGATGACGACGTCAAAACCAGTCAGGATCGTGAACACAGCAAGACAGGCTTCCATTAACCTGAAACCAGTGTGGAGATCGACTGCACTCCACTCACCATAAAGCGTGAACAACATCCGGATTTTCAACACCGATCCAATGAAGTCAGTGCTCCTATATGGTTCAGAGACTTCGCGTGTCACGAAAAGCATTTCCAACAAACTACAAATATTCATCAACAACTGCCTACGCTGGCTCGTTACTGAAGCTCAGATGGCCAGAATAATAAGAATAAACAACAAGGAACTGTGACTGGCTCACAACGAATCAACCAAGAACCTATCACTCAACAAATATGCTGTAGAAAGGAGTGGAGATGGATTGGATTGGGTATGCACTGAGAAGACCATTCGGGGACATCACGCGTCAGGCCAGGCCGTCGAGTGGAACCCGCATGGGAAACGACGAATTGGGTGTCCGAGGTGAGAGTGACATGGAGGAGATGGTGTGAGGAAGAAATGAGAGCTTGTGGGTAGTCATGGAGCCAGGTTCAAACGATTGGAGAGAAGAGAGTGGAATGGAGGCGTAGTAGTGAATCCCTATGTTCTACTAGCAACCCGAGGGATAAATAAAATAATAACAATAATGTCATAGTAGTCAGCTAGACAGTGCTTGAAGGTTAAAGTAATATCAAGGTTAATATGTAGGAACACTTCAGAGTTGAAATGAGAACAGAGAAAGGGAGAGATACATGTTTTCTAGTCGAATGTTAATGACCACTAGGATATATATACTCATGAGCAATTTTTTATTATTCAGAAGACAAGTTAAGCAAACTGAACTTTCTAGTGGGAATTCAGTAGTTCTAGAATTACTTTTATGTCGTTCAATATCTGAATCAACCTGTGCCCATGATAAATTTACACAGCGTAAATGGGAGGATGAAGATTATCTGAAACATGTGTGATGCATTAACGCTATACATTTCGAACAATCTGATTACATAAGAATGAATAGAGTTATTTATATGAAAATGAATGGAACAAAAGGTCAATTAAGTTGTTAATAAGGAAACATAAGAATAGGGAGGGCAAAGAAAAATCAAAACCTGAATTACATCACTTTTCATTACCTTAGTATTTGTAATTCCTGATCAATGTAAAACTAAATAAATTTGTTTTAACTGACGTTTCCCTATTTAATGCTCCTAATAGGTTTATCCAAGTTATAGTAAACAGGAATGAGAAGAAAGCAAGTGAAAACTTATCTGGAGGACCGTATACTTTAATTGATGAAAACATCCGCCTTACTGAACAAAATGAAACTGAACACGAAGAGACTATTTTAAAGACTTAAACCCGAAATCGGCAGCTCAATTTGCCTCAACCTCAAACTTAAGTCATACATACCTTCAAGATTCTATGGTCCACCTAAGATTCATTCCACTGAGACTAATTATGGACTTCACCAACATACAATCTCTCCAAATATCTGGCTTCAATATACTTAAACCCGTACAAAAGCACTCAGGACATACAATAAAGGCCCCACTTGATTTTAAATCCGAAATTTTTTAACTTAAAATTGAGGAAGATGAAACTATGATAAACTATAACATCAATTCTATATTTTAGTATTATTGCTTGTATGACACCATCGTTGATTGGACCGAATTGATCGGTCTCTGTTGGCGTATGGGCTCCTGTGCAGATGCCTTGATATTGCCTATGTTTTAATTATGTATAGTAATGATGGGCAGTGAATAGCAGTGGAATCCAGGATGCGCATTTCGTCCTATTTGGGACTGATCAATTCAGTTTAATCAACGATGGTGTCATACAAGCAATAACACTAGAACTATACCCGTCGCACAAGAAGTGGCTATCGTGGCTCGGTAGTGTAGTGGTGTTTGAAGCGATCGCTCCCGAGTCCGAGTCCCAGTGGGAACAACATCACTCACTGGGAAGCAGGTACACACCCAGCTGACGAGTCCCAAATAAGACGAAATGCGCATCCCGAATTCCACTGCTAGCCACTGCTCATCATTACCATACATAATCAATTTTACATATACTAGTATTTCAACTAGTAATAACCTAGATATTATTTCTAATTTATTAGACTGAGATACATCACTGACAGAAAGATGTCTACTGAATACCAGTGACATCATCAAGGCCCTAGAATTCTGCTGACAGACTACTTATTTCACATATAAAGGAAAACTATACAGGCAAACTAATAGGTTCACCCGTTCCACCCATAGTACTTAACCTATTTATGAGCAAATTCGAAGAAAGTGTCTTCACTCACTTACTGAAGTGAGGTATGCCGATGATACATTCGTACTTTTAAAACGTGACTTATACCAGACATACATAGACCAACTGAACTGTAGTTCTTTTAGTATCAAATTCAGCTCAGAAAAAGAAACGGATAAGGGGGATCTGCCTTTCCTTGATTGTCTTGTTAAGTGGAAAGAAAATCGATATTTAGGCATAACCATTTTCAGGAAAGTAAAGCATTCGAATAAATATTTAGGTTTCAACTCATCACATTGAATTACTGTGAAAGCTTCTGTTGCCTTCATTCTCTTAAGGAGATCACACACTCTAGTAATGGACGAAAATGAGAGTTAAGGAATTAAAATATGTGAACAAGATACATAAAATGAACAATTATCCCGTAAACTTGATTCACAAGACAGAAAATAACATTAGATCTTAGAACTACGCCTAAATCATGGGCCTCATCAATAGTTATCGCTAACACATCATACACATCGGATGAAGTTACGAGAGTACTCAACAAATACAATGTCACTGTGTTCTGCAGAGTACCTTAGGTCATTTGAAGGATGATATCCCTCTGGATTCACAATCTAGTTGTGTCTATAAAATAAAATGCTCAGACTGCGATGCAATATACATAGGACAAACTTTGCGTGAAATCAAAATGAGAAAAAATGAACACCGAAGAGCTTCCTCCCTTAGAAATCTAGTGAAACTGAAGAAACTTGAAAACACGCCAGTCATAGCTCTACACATTATTATTTCAAGTTACAAGGTCGATTTTGACAATATCGAAATTATTCAAAAAGGCTTCACATAAAGTGGAATCAAGATTTTCCAAACAGGAATGAGGAAGTAAAATTCAGTTTGACCTGTTGTCACAACCCATCCCATCCCCCATATACTGACATAACCAACATACATACGATTAGAACACTTGTGCACATACAAATCTCAATCTGTAATTCATAAAGCCTTTATACACAGAATACACTACATATGTATATCATCTTTATTCTACAATTCTAGCAACACAGAATCAGTCATGCAGAAGCACACTTCTCAAGTTATCATATATAGACTCGGAGGATATTGTAAATTCCAGTTTAATATAACTTTGATAAAGCTGTTAGCCGCATTAAATAGCGAAATGTCAGTTGAAACAAATTTATACATTTACACAAATATCCAAATAAGGAATATCATATGTGCAATGCTAAAATATTTTTAAACCATCAAATTTCGACTTGGTTTGGATATCTATATATATATCACTTTTAGTATGATACAGATGGCCAGAGCCTTGATAAATTACAGTACATGGCGCTGACTACATTCATGTAATTCTTCAAAGGCGGTTTTAATGTTTACACTATGACTAGCTTCTAGTAATATGCTTGGGGAAAGATAAAGACTGAGGTTTCTTATCTGAACTTATTGGATCAGTTGAGATCATTTGTTTACAAAGATACTAAGATACACGTTAAGCCATCTTCAACTGAATATACATCAAAGGACGAGTATACTGTGTCACTTCACTCCGTTGTGTCCTGTTATACAACTGTGAGACAAGACCATTAAAAGTAGAAGACATGAAGCGATTACAAGGTTTTGATCATAGGCATCTTCGTAGCATTGCTTGCGTCTTGTGGAATCACAGTGTCAGCAATATTGAAGTCAGGCGAAGGGTATTAGGTAAGGTAGGCAAATCGATTGATGAAGTTGTGAACCTTAGTTAACTGAGATGGCTAAGACATGCTGCGCATACCGAGTCACCATCTACCTCAATATGCTACGCTAGGGGGAGTTGGATTCTGTTGGATGGAGACTCAGGGCGGCTAAACCAACACGTGGTGCCAGTCTATGAATTCTCTGACTGTCGGTTTAAGCTGTGTTGGGATATGTAGACTATATGGCTGGGATCCTTGAGATCATAGGAATCAGTGATTGAGGGCTTTTGGTGATATGGCTGAAAATAGGTCGGTCAAAGTGGCGCAGATACATTCACTCCTTGACATCTTATAAAGCTTGAATATTCGCATTAAACTTTATCTTCAAATTGTTTATCGTCTCAAATAACTTTGTCAACATTGATGTCGGTCTTTTTCTATCCATTCGGTTCCTTGTATACTACAGGTGCAGTTGTGTGTGGCGAGGTTCTACATTAATTCTGTCTGTCACATATAATTACAGATATCTCAAATTAATTTAGTTTTTATTTACGAATTAGATCAATATGGATTTCACTAGCTTTTTATCGTGTCTGTAATCGATAATAGAGAAAGAGAGAGAGAGAGAGAGAGAGAGGGACGGAGGGAGAGGGAGAGAGAGAGGTCATGGTTACATTCTATTGGCTTTTTTACTCTCTGCTGAAAATTTACCATTCGAAAATATTTCTGAATAATATCATTCATTCGTTTGCTGAATAGAAGATAATAAACATATTCTTCTCTCAGGCTGACAAGCTAATCAAAGCACTAACCTGTAAGCTTTCCACAGTATGTGCACCATCCAGAAAATAAGTTATATTTCTTCTTGTTACAATTTGCCAACGGCCTGGCCATCGAGCAGATAAAGCATCTTTAAACAACAAAAGAAAGTTAATGAATTTGGAGTTTGAAGTGAACAAATTGACTCATAAAAAGAAATCAAAATATCATGTCACAATGATAATTGAAGAGTTATTAAGAGGCTAATGAAATTACGCAACGTCAATAGAATCAATGTCCTCCATAAAAAAGTATCCTTACCTTACCATACCACATTTCAGATGGTAAACTAAAAAGCCATTGCAACACAGAGCTCATTTCTTGAGAAAGTTGAATTAATCATTTGGAATTAGGGATATTTGATCACAATTTAATAAGACAGACAGAGATAAGTATTATCAAAGTCGAACCTCACACAGAGGTGTATTAAATTGTCACACTTCACAGTAGCATGCAAAGAATAAGCAGGTAGAAAAAGAGTGATATCATAGCACACAAAATAGTATTGGAGAAGAAGGAATTTGAAAACGAAGGTTAGTAAAAATGTTAATACTTTAGAAGAGTGAGTTAATATGACTGATTTTCGGTACAACCAGTGTTGATTCTTTTTTATATCGAGGCCCCCTAGTCAATAAGTTTACACCAATCACAACACGATTTAAACTAGCAGTTAAAAACTTCAAAGATCGGTGCCACATCTTTTTCTGGCCCATATGTGCTTTCTTTTAATCTACATCGACCAACATTTCACGTCCAGGTAGGTGATGACTTGGCATGAACAGAACATCTTCAGACCAGCTCAGTCACTGAAGGTTTCTAGCCTCATCGAATGACTTCACCTCCTTTGCATGACCTCAACACTGCTAATACAATGATACCATTTTATGTAAACAGCGGTTTGAAAATCTTTAGCCTCCTTAAATCATTTTCCGTCAGTTACCACCGCTGAAAGCTGTATACTAGCAGAGCGCAATAAACTCCTTCAACAAGTAGTCGGACATCTCCTTAATGCCATAAGTGGTATTTCGGTACCTAGACTAAGATTTTGCCAAGAACCAACTCATTTCAACTGGTACAGCTCCATAAGTAAGTGAAGTGATCAATGCATCCCGCCAATCCACTCACTATCATTAAACTACGAGTTATGGCAAACCAGTCTTAAAGCATCATTCCACATTTGAAATGAGTGGAACACATGTGAAACATACTCAGATTTCTGCTCAACATGTTCAGAAGACTTCATTTTGTCAGCATCTTCGACTAACAGGAGAATGTCTTATCCGTACTCTTTGTTAACCAGGTGACCTTTAGGGAGCAAGTCAATCCCTAAACAACACGTGGTGCCTAAGGTTAAATATATAAGCACGTCTATAACAAACTTAAACACGAAGGGTCACAGTAGGCGTCCTTAACTGACACCACTGATTGTCCTTAGTTCAGATGACAACTCTTCATAAACGCTTACACGGTTGTGCCAGTTAGAGTAGAAAGTCTTGTTCCAAATAATATACTCGCTCGGTAGTTCCTTGACAGTCAAACATTTTTCAATCGACAGATTCAAATGCCACCTTCAGGTTAAGAAAAATACTAAGTATCGGGCGACCTTTAGGTGTATTTGTTTGAAAACACTTTGGATGGTCAAGATCTCATCAATACACTCTCATCCAGATCCGTAATCTATCTGGTGTGCAAATATGAGGCTGGTGGTCTTCACTACACCTTTAATTAACCACGTTGGAAGGTGTTTGAGAGTACGAAAAACTGAAATCGTAGAGAAGAGTCCGACATAACTGGATTCACATGAGCAGTTGAACTAATGAACAGGAAGTGGTCCGTCTAGGCAATTTATCTTTCAGATGTAAACTTCATCACTGAGTGTACTGCGTTAAATCTTTTGAATATCTTTGACCTATTCATGCTGTTTTCCCAAATACTGTATAGTATTATTACCAACTGATAAGCAAAATCTCAATATTGTTGATACACAATTCCTCAACATGTGCATATAACTGTAGGACCTAAAGAAGAGGCTATCGAAAAGAATATTCTTTGTTCATTCAAAAAGCTTTTGAACTATTATAGGAATTTTTAATGAAATACTATATTGACTAAGTGAGGTCAAGTGAACAACCACACTTGAGTCCTGTACACAGCAAACACTTATAGCTCGAGATTTCAGACTGAGTTTTGACAATTGAAGTCTGTTATCCAATTTGGCACAGGATTCGGCTTTCGACAGCTTGTGTTAAATTGACAGCGTCACTTTTAAGAGACTGGACATGATTTTCTGCTGGCTTAAATCGTTAGTAATGATCGTAGGGTGAAGAGTTGCGGGAAAACATAAGGGATTTAATATTAGCAACTAGGTACAGATACTGTGACCTCAACATCAAGATGCAAGTTTCTAATGTTTGAAGTTTTCATCGTATAAGGTGTGTTTTATTTACGAAACAAATAATAAAATGAAAAAATATTTTGTATTATATTTCTCAATGTTTCGATTTTCCCAGGAAGACCTTTACCATTAGAATAAATTTGATATTAATGTTTCAGGTTTGGTACAGAAGGTGACCTTTACGAGCATCCTACCAGATCAAGATAAGGAACAAAGATCAGTATGACGTAGGTAATTGAGTTATCGAGTCGGCCAGAGACCTATTCCAGTTATGCAAGTAAGGCAGAACAAAAACAGGGTGGGAGGTTTAAAGTTGACTATGACAAGTACAATGAAGTTGAGTTGTCAAGGGGGATGATCAATTTGCAAATGATTTACAAGTCAGCTAACCAGATTTGGGTGGTCTGAACTAATTCGGCTCTATGAGCTGGATTTGTCCGGATTCACTCCTGATGAGCTCGGTCCCAAACGGGCGAAACGGCCGTCCGGTATTACGATCACTCTGATCTGGCTTGCGAAATAACACAGATAAGACTGAGTGATTTTTAACTACTCAAGTTGTTCAACAGTAGTATCTTTCTGCGGTAAGAATAAACTACTATTGTGGAAAGATAAAGGTTGGACGTACCTTTTCTTGGACGCATAACGGTGGTCTGAACTTCTGGATGGCTAGTTCTTCAGCTGCAGACAAATGCCTTGATCTTACTCTCTTCGAGTGGTTTGATCGAACCCTGTTAAGGATTTTGAATGAGCTCTGAAAAGGAGCTAAGTGGACTGAGTTCACGAGGTGTTCTGTTATTCAATTCCAGGTGATGAAGATGTCCAACCAACAACAACAGGCACTAATCACCATCGATGGGAAAAATCCAAACGAGGTTGTCTCTTTCACCTACACACCTAGGCAGTATCCTCTCAACTACAGGCGGCGGGACAGGCACAGATGACGATGTCAAAGCCAGGATAGGAAGACAGCAAGACAGATCTTCATTAGTATGAAATAAGTGTGGAGATCTACTGCACTCCACTTCACCTCGCATAAAGCGTGAACAAGATCTGGGTTTTCAACGCTACTCTCAAGTCAGTGTTTCTCCATGGTTCAGAGACTTGGCGCGTTACGAAAAGCATTTGCAACAAACTGCAGAAAAACATCATCAACAGCTGTCGCCCACGCTCACTCGATATTGACACTGAAGATCAGATGGCCAGAAAGAATAAGGAACAAAGAACTCTGGCTGATCTCGCCATGAACCAAACAACAACCTATCGCCCAAAAATATGCAGAAGAAAGTGGAGATGGATTGGGCATACAATGAGAAGGCCGACTGGGGACATCACGTGCCAGGCCCTCGAGTGGAACCCCGATGTGAATCGACGAGTTGGGTATCCGAGGGTGATATGGAGGAGGTCGTGTGAGGAAGAAATGAAAGGTTGTTGGAAATCGTGGAACCAGGTTAAAAAGACTGCAGAGAACAGAGTGGAGTGGCGACGTGCTACTAAATCCCTACGTTCCACCATAAACCCAAGCGACAACAAATAATAACAATAAAATATCACGATCGTAGTGAGAATGAGTAAGAGAGAGATATAGCGAGATGGGTTGCATTAAAAATAGTCAATTTTTTCTTTGATACAGGAAACAACAACAAATTACCGAGTAAAACAGTTGAACTAGACTTCAAAACCAATGTAGGTTGTAGACCTGAAACGTAAAACAAAAAAGGAAAAAGTTAGCACACGAAAAGGTTTTAGTTATTCATGCAATAGTGTAGTAGTAATGAGGTTAGGTATCATTTTGCGTTGATCCGTTTGCTCAAACATCATCATCATCTATTAACATGGGACCAGATATTACTGCGTAACGGTCCAACTTGCCACACCTCATATCAGTACATCAGGTAAAAAGGCAGTGAAGTGGAAGATGAAGAAAAGAAAATACAGTCAAAAGAAATGTAAAGTACTCAAAGAGAAGAAGGAAGAACGACAAAATGGTGAGATTCGATAAAGCGTTGAGATGAGGATAATGTGTGTACGTGTTTACATCTGTGCCACTGACAATGGTTCTAAACCATATCACCTAGAGTATCTAACCACTGGTTCCTCTTATCCTCTTGCTAAAACAAAATGAGTGATGAAATAATATTGCTTACTGATTGTGGGATGGTAATAATAAGATGAGTAGTCTAAAGAAACACTTAGTTGTAGTCTTCCATACAATAATACACCAAGACATGATATGATATGGCAAAGTAACAGTCCTTGGAACTAAATATGAGGCAGAAATGGACGACTAAATCATTGTTTATTGAATCCACGTTACATGTAATAATAATAACAATAATAATCGTAATAATATTGTGACCCAGCCCAGTATAGGTTTGTGTACTAAGTGATAAGCCACGAGCGATGCACGAGGGCTCTCAATACTACCACGCAGTTACTTTGGCGAAAGTAGTTAGAACATGATTAGAACCCGAAACCAGTTGCTTAAAAGCCAATGCCACCTAACTCAGCAAACTTGTTCATAGTAGGCAGTGAGCCACACGTATTGTATGAAGGCCGCTCCAACCTCAGTGAGTCAGGGTGGGGGTGATTTGAAAACTGTGACCCATTGGTAGAAAATCAGCTACCTCAATCAAAAAACCAAAGCCCCAGCTTAAGTCGATGGGTCATATTTCTATGCATATATACAATAAGAATGGCTTGGGATCCATTCTAGAAGCCCTATCGAATTCTACTATAGAAAAGGGGAAAATTAAGGCTACAAAAGCTGCGGAATTATCTTGATATGTATGTAGACAGTAAATTATGCCGGGAATGATATCCAGTAAATAAATAGTATTGTTTTTTGGTATGATGCATCAGACAAACAAACTAATATGGCATCAAACAGGTCAACCTCCAACGTCTCACAAAACAACCGAACTAATCAGACATTCAGCTGCACTATTAAAACCTTTCAACGAGTTAACTTTTCACTAATTAAACATTATCCACACCAGTAAACTGTTATAATGAAGTGAAGGGATGAAACTAAGAACCTGATACAATCATTGTCAAGCTGTATCGTTTAAAAAGATATTTTGTCAAGGATTTATTATATAGGTCGCCCTCAAGAGCTCTATATCGACTTCTTACTCAGTTTCACACGACTCACGGTAGCGAACTAATTGCGTATGAGATAAAGTCAATCAACGTAAACTATCTAAATTTCTCTGAATGGAATGAATTATTTCAGGTTGATGAATTATTGTACGTCATCAACGTGCAATTCAGTTTTGTCAATAGATGGTCAATATCACTAAAATACACGAGTAAGGAGATGCTATTACTCTCTATCTGCTGTTGTACAGTTGGATGGGACGAAAGAAAGTTGCAAATACCTCGTTTTCCGTTCAGTTCAGTGAATGACTCTAGGCATGGAGTAATGCGTACCAGGGGCCAGTTTGTAGCTTCATAAAGAAGCTGGATACTCAATATAGAGACTGCTGTTAGATCTTAACACACTGTCCAACAGCCAGTGGAATAAAATTCAACTGTAACTCTACTACAAGTAGTGATACGTTCAGCTAGTCGAAAGTACAAGGTCTTGATATAGAATACATAGCCTAATATTAGGTCAAAACTATCCAATGGAGTTATGACAAGTTTAGATCGATCAATAACGCGTGAAAAAATTACAGGATGCTTTGTCCCATCCTAAGCTACTTTAACAATACCTATCAGTGATTGCTTGTCCAGAGACAACTGTCTTACAGGTTCCAACGAAAATTTGTAGTACCCTGAGGTAAATAGTACGACAATGAAACATTAGTCACACTGTACTACAACTATAACTGGAAGTAACCATAAGACCAAGTGATATATTACACAACAGAATACCCTTCTGTTATGTTTTAAGCTTCAGTTAAAATATACCTCCTAACACATGAAACACTTAAGCTATCTACCTACCCAGTAGTATCATTAGCTCTCACATAATACGTTTAACTCACTGTTTACTGCATAAATGTGTATATGGTTGCTGAGTGTGATGCGATTCGACACATGAAACATAATACACTCCCAACAGAAAATGATGAAACATTATGTTAACTGAAAGATAGGTGAAAGAGAATGCAGTAACAAAAAATCATCAAAAGTATTTACACGAATTGATGGATATACTGATGAATAATATGATAATAAAGTTAGATAAATAACTGACCGATACGTTTACACGAATCATTATTTCCATGTAATTTTTCAAACCAAAGATTGATAGCAGTTAGACTAACACCAAGATTTAACAGTCGACAATCATTCATGCTTAAATGATCGAATACATTCTTGACTGATTCAATCATATTGCCTTCAGTTAAAAACGAATCCAATGGGGAAGCAATATATAATGGACACTGAAGTATAAATAATTACATGTAAATATGTTGAATAAGATCAAGGTAAAAGAAAAAAATATGAAGTCAACTGAGTATATTCTTCAAATTATGCATTCATTACAGTTATAACAGTTAGAAGCACACTCATTTACAGGTTATCTTGACGTAAGATGTTGTTAAGAATAACATTACATGGCAAGGGGTCAGGAGAATGGAAAACCTGAGGATAGTGGAATCAAGACAGATAGTTTAGGCCATCTGTAGTAGTTGAGAATTCAGGAGTGAGTGATGACACGAATGAAAATCGATCCGATCTTAAAACTGTATACATTTGTTTTCTGTTCATACTTACATACTTACGTACACGAGTAACCACATAAATTTCAACAATTGACTTTTATAAGTTGGTATCCATCATGGAATGACATCAGTTGGAGGAACATTTGAAACCTGGGAGCACTGGATAGCTGTTTCGTCACACTAGTATGGGACTCCTCAGCAGTGCGCATCTACGACCCCGCCAGGGATAGAACATGCCACCTTCAGGTCCCGTGGCCAGACGGTTAACACTGAGCCACTGGGTCAGAATCCAATGGTCCATATTTTCAACTTCTGCCAGTTTATGACGTAGTGCGTCGTCACCTCATATTCTTTGTTCTTTAAGGGTTGTAAAGTTTTCTACACTTCCAGTATAGATGTTGTATCATTACTATTACGTACTTTAGGTGTTGATTCGATGAACAAGTATTAAGTAATCGATCTCTCTTTCCAAATAACTATATCGAATTTTAATGCAGTTGCTTTATCACACCTTACTGTGTGTTTGTGTGTCAGTAGGATCTAAGTACATGTAGTAGATTCAATCCACTTTTACTTACGAGTTTCAAAAATGAACAAGGGGAATTAAATATATTGGACTGCAAAGTAAGACATGGAAAAGATGTCAACTTAGATTGGCTACCGCCTACAGGAAAATAACATACACGGTAATATGAAAAGAGACGACAATACCAGTAGAAGAGTTCAAAACTTCTTTTTTGTTACTACGTAATGAAGAAACATCTTAGTCAAAGGTACATTTTGTCAGCCTAAGGATCCTATTGGTATCATTAGACAAAATAATTTGATTAACCGACTACCAAGCAATCAATGTCTATGAGGTCAAACTAACCGATTGGTGTCACTTAGATTAGCGAAAAGTAGGAAGATAGTCTACAGTAGACTGATTTAATCCACACCTACGCCGGAGAAGTTGAAAGATTTCACTACCACTAAAGAACAAAGGATACAATAGGATTGGACAATAAAAATCAGTTGTCACAAGTGGTATGATCACTTTGATATGATGATGACTAATGTATGCTCGAAATTTAATCGAGTAAATAATACTGCATCACTATGTGCTACATGAAATAAGAATATCTACCTTGAAATTACACTCCAATAGATTGCTCCTTTTTTTTACGCTTGCTTTAATAGTTGATCTCAAATTGTACATTATTAAGAGCAAACATGGTGGACAGTATTATACAACAAGATAAGAAACCTGTGCAATTTGTCAATGTGAGAAATAAGGACAAGAAAAACAAAAGCATAGGACCTACTTGAACTCGCTCAGCTTCCTCGATAAGCACATTCATGGCTTCCTCTGATTGTCCATAGCTGACCACAGCTGCTGAACCCGCCTTCAAAGTGATGTCAATATAGTAGGATAGAAAAAGAGGGGCTAATATTACGACACATTTATGAGGAAAGAATATGTTCTTTGCTTGGAGGCAATCAGCAGGAAACCCTGCCTGGTACTCGTCAGCAACGGGTATCTGTAACCTCCAGGGGGAATTGATGTCTCTCAAGATATTCGAATCCATATCACCTACTGCTGCAGTCAGACAAGCTACTATCGACTTATTCAGAGCATGAAGTTTACTGAGAGAATAACTTAACAGATATTTAATATTTCAGCAACACATTTACCATTACAGAAAAATCACTAGTCACCAGCCTGCCTTTATTAAAAGTGAGTGCTAAAACTCTATCCTTGGAAACTAACACAATAAGCGAATTCATTGAAAAATTGTAGCAACCAGATAAAGGACAGTACATTACAATCGGATCTGTGGCTCATTGAAGGTGTGGTCACGGAAGGTGGAAGACATGAGAAGACTTCAGGTGTTTGACCACCGTTGCCTTCGTAGTATAGGCCCTATTCCGTGGTGTCACCACGTGAGCAATGCAGAAGTCAGGTGTAGAGTTTTAGGGAGCAGAGGTAAATCAGTAGACGAGGTTATGAACCTTCATCGATTGAGATGGTTTGGACAGGTGTTACGTGTATGCCCAGTCACCGATTGCTTCGTCACACAATGTTGGCTGAGGTAGGTGCAGGCTGGAAGAAGGCCCGAGGTGGCCAGACTAAAACATGGCACCAATGTATGAAGTCTTTGATTGTTGGTTTGAGCCGTGTATGGGGCGGGGCGGGGGGGGGGGCGATGCAGACTAGGTGGTTGGGGTCTACAGGACAAAAGAGAAACTAATGGTTGGAGACTCTAGGTGATATGGTTTAGAACCATTGTCAGTGGCACAGATGTAAACACGTACACACATTATCCTCATCTCAACGCTTTATCGAATCTCACCATTTTGTCGTTCTTCCTTCTTCTCTTTGAGTACTTTACATTTCTTTCGACTGTATTTTCTTTTCTTCATCTTCCACTTCACTGCCTTCTTACCTGATGTACTGATATGAGGTGTGGCAAGTTGAACCGTTACGTAGTAATACCTGGTCCTATGTCGATTTGGTTGGATGATGAATGCTATGGCTAAAAGGGGCTTAGAGAAGTGATAACCAACTAGTACTCCCACAATAGGTTTGGCTCGTTGCCCACTGCACGGATGTGCACAAGGTGGCTGATTACGTTTCGTTTTAACTTACAATCAGTGCTATGCTTTGATGATTTATCAGTCGCTGGCTGAGGATGAGGGGCTACATATCACTGAAAGCCACGGGATTTCAATTTGTTTAAAAAGTCAATTTAACAACAGTTTAGAATTACACCATAATCGTTGAATATACAACTTGAAGGAACAGCTCCATATTAGATCAGTTTATATTACACAAAACATTCAGTGATACAGTGTGTTAATTATTGGATGGCTTTTCGAGAACAATTTATTTCTCATAATCATATCAAAGTAGTCCCACAACCTATAAACCTCCTCTTTATTGTCCATTATTTCCTTATTCTCTTATTCACAGTGGAAGTACAATTTCCAAAATATCTGAAATGGCTGGTGAGTCATTCCTGTTTGGTGGGTAAAGAATTAGAGGCAGTAACTATGATTCTAAATGTAGCATAGATCCACTCGGTAGTTATACATCAAGAAACCAACATGAGGAAACTATACACTACACAGAGTGGTTAATTGGCGTTGGGTTTGCATTGCTGCCTCGTGAAAACCAGTCATGTTATGTACGGCAGGTATTACGGGTCGAAAATAGTCGTGTACGACGATGGGCCTCCTTGTCGCCCTACCGGCAAGTTGACTTGGCGAAAAAACAATGTCAACGAGATCCATTTACTAAAGATCAGTGGCGCGGGTCTTCAAGAAGCGGAAGGTTTTGCAAGCCAAGAGGATTCTTTCTTGTGTGTTAGCAGCAGTGCAACCGAAAGCTACGGTGAATCCAAGTTCCTAATTTCTGTAATCATAGTTGCTAAAGCTATCCCAAGATATTGGGCGCAGTTCACCCTGCGTAGACGGGCTGTATATAAGTAACCCAAGGCAAGCCATTGCTGTGAATCTTTCGGCATTATGGGTCTATGGGCAGGCCTTTTAAAGAGATGTCTTTTTGTAAAGGTGAGCTACACTTAGGTCTGCAAAGTTATGGAGACTTCAGTGAAACGAATCCTACGCACGACTGATCACAGGGACGTGAGCACGGTCAGCGGGATGATTACCCATCATCATCATCATTATCAACATAGGACCAGGCATTACTGCGTAACGGTCCGAGTTGCCACACCTCATATCAGCACATCAAGTAAAAAGGTAGTGAGGTGAAGGATGAAGATAAGTGAATGCAGTCAAAAGAAATATAAAGTACGAGAAGAAAGGAAAGAGGAGTGACAAAATAGTGAGATTCGGTATACCCTCGTTAAGATGAGGATAATGTGTGTATACATCTGCGCCACTGACTTCGGTTCTGAGCCATATCACCTAGGGTCTCCAACCACTGGTTCCTCTTGTCCCACCGACCCCAACCACCTAGTCTGCATCGCCCTACACGGCTCAAACCAACAATCAAAGACTTCATACATTGGTGCCATGTTTTAGTCTGGCCACCTCGGGCCTTCTTCCAGCCTGCACCTACCTCAGCCAACATTGTGTGACGAAGCAATCGGTGACTGGGCATACGTAACACCTGTCCAAACCATCTCAATCGATGAAGGTTCATAACCTCGTCTACTGATTTACCTCTGCTCCCTAAAACTCTACACCTGACTTCTGCATTACTCACGTGGTGACACCACGGAGTACGTCCTACACTACGAAGGCAACGGTGGTCAAACACCTGAAGCCTTTTTGTATCCTCCACTCTCAATGGCCATGTTTCACAACCATACAGTAGAACAGAGCGGACTGCTGTGCAGTACACGCGACCCTTAATTGACAAACGAATATCACGGCGGCGCCATAGGTGGCGCAAATTGGCAAAAGCCAATCGAGCCTTTTGTATCCGTGCAGAAATCTCATCGGCAACTGATCCACCGGAGTTGATCCTACTTCCCAGGTAAGTGAAGTGGTCAACACACTCAACCACTTCACTCTCTATTGTTAGCCTCGGCACCACTGAAGACCAGTCCTGGAGCAAAAATTTGCATTTGGGTGGTGAAAACCACATCCCAAACATTCTCAAATTCCCACTCAAAGTGTTCAGAAGACTCTGCATCTTGTCAGCGTCTTCACCTAACAGGACTATGTCATCTGCATATTCTAGATCTAAGGAAAATTCACCTGTGATCCGGTCAACGTCTTTGTAATTAGGTGACGAGAGGGAAACCTCCATAAGAATATCTATGATAAAATTAAATAAGAATGGGGATAGTGGGCATCCTTGACGGACACCACTTGATGAGTATAGCTCCCTGGACAACTCGCCATAGGCTCTAACATGCCCACAAGTGTTCGAGTAGAGAGCTTTCAATAAGGTGATGTACTTACTAGGCACGCCTTTCAGTGACAGACACTGCCATAAGACTTCTCGATCAACGGAGTCAAATGCCGCCTTCAGGTCGAGAAATACAGCTATTGTCGGGCGTCTGTAAGCATGCCTATGTTCCAGGACCTGGCGCAGTGTGAATATGATGGATGATTACCCCCTGAATATGGACGCGTTGAAACCTGACAGCTGGGAGGGTTCTGGGATAACACTGATTAATTTGAAGGAGTGTTAGCAGAGTGCTCTGGCAGCAGTGTTCTTTTCCATGTGAATGCGTTGCTTGGGTGTTTCCTGCTCAGCGAAAGGACCGATGCACTCGGGTGCATTGGAACATCGAGAGATCTGAAAACCGGCCTAGAACTTGGTATTGTGTCAAAAAAAAATACTGATCCATATTTTTTGACTTACAGATCAGACTCCTGGTTTAATTATCTTGCAACGACCTTACCTTAACAGCTATATAGTGAGATGATGAGAAATCTATTCATTTATACTAGTGTGATAGTTCCCCGTACATCGCTTTCAGTTATGAAGGTAGAGATCAGATGCCTGTTTGCCTACCTCGGCTCACAGATAATGATAAGCCAGGTTATGAATTATTCTGGATGCGTAACACCTTACAATACCACCCAACTGTTCATGCCATAAGTTAGATGGGATTCGAACCTAGGACCTGTTTGTTTAGAAATGTTCTCAAGTTATTGAATTACATCATCACGAGTTATACAAAGGAAAGAAGTCAAATATTATAACCACCGGGAAAAACACATTTCGATGGTTTGTATTCAGTGTAAGGTGTAATAAAGACAATAGTAGGAAGTTTTGTTCTTCACTGTATATCTGTTGGCACCCAAAAGAAAGGCATGTTTTGTTTTCGTGCAGTAAGTAGTTTTTAGGTAGTTCACTCGTGGGACCAAACTCAGTATCACTAATCTATACAGATTGATAACCTGCTTGACTAAATGACCACAAATTCGAAACCGAAGTCTTAAACTTTCTACTTTTTATGTTATTACACGTAATATCCCGTCGCTGATTCAACCAAATTGATCGGTCTGGATTGGCATATGGGCTGCTTTGCGGACGCCTTGATACTACCTGCATTTTCAACAGTGGTCACTCCAGCATTGATATAAAATTGAAACACAAGCGATATTGAGGCATCTACGCAGGAGCCTATATGCCAACAGAGACAGACCCACTCAGTCCAATCAACGATGGAATAATACAAGTAACAACACAAAAACTATACCCATCGCACAAGATGTGGCTATCCTAACCCAGCAACCTGGTGAATAACGCTCTGTGGTTTGAACCGATTGGTCTCCGGTTCAAGTCTTATTGGAAACAGTATTGTTAACTTGGAGACAGGTACATCCAGCTGATGAATCCCAGAGAGGACGAAACGCGCGTACTGTATTTCACTGTTAGTCACTGTCCATCATTAATATTTCTGCTTTTTGCTTCCAGAAAACGCACTACTTCACTTTTCCCAACAGATTTAGCCAGCGAAAACTTTGAAACGAGTTTATATATAGGACACAAAAGTTACATAATGGAAATCCACAGCTCTGATATATACCTTGAAAATTCCAGCCTTCCTCCAGGCTATTTCAGCAATAGTATTGCCTAGAACATCTGTATGCTCTAGTGCCAAGCTTGTAATGACAGTTACAAAAGGATTCCTAGAGGAGGATTAAAAAAATATCAAAATAGATCAACTTTTTAAAAACCCCTTACCAACAAGAGATAGTCTTTTTCTAACTGTAAGGCCTTTGAAACCTTACTAATGGCACCTAACAGTTTAGATTTCCACACTGTTTTATCTTCTCAATGTTAATAATGAACGATTATCGACTGTCATTTACAATAAAACCAAAGCAGATTCTCATTGCTAGTTCAGTCATTGGCTCCTCGTCTTCTTTTCCGTTCCACATTCTCCAGTAGACTGAGTAAAGTAACACCGTGAAACTTAAAGATACTTCTACTCACCTCCTGCAATAACGTACTAATATACGGTCAAGCAAAATCTACCAAAACAGCTGGTTGTTACAATACAAAATCCTAGATAAATTTGAAAATCTCAAGTATTTATGTCGTGTAAAACGAAGTGGCATGATTGCTGAGATGATGATGGGCACTGGACAGATCTAAACTCATAGCTGACTGACTGACTGGAACTGATGATTCTTTACCTAGTACGCCATTTTTGAGGAGATGTAACAACTCTGTTTGTTTCAACATCGTTATCTCTGTAGAATTGCTCGTATCTGGTAACAGCACCGTGTAAGTAATCCTGACGTACGACAGCGTGTGTTTCGGCATTCAATAACTGAAGTCATCTGGAGACACCGGATTTAGTGGCTTGGACATGTCTTACACATGTTGTCTCAACGACTTCCACGAGTTTCATTGTTCCCTCACTGGGACCGGATAGAAGAAGAAGAGGAGAGGTGGTCAGTGTATGACGTGACATCGTGAGATGAAGGGTAGTTATATCGAGTAAGCATCTGTCAGTGTATCACAACCCACCCACCCCCCACCGGGTCAAGTTCGAGAGACCAGGAAACTCAGTGGCTTCAGACGTTATCAGATATGCCTCTGAATCGAAAACAGTAGACGTCACGTTGTGGCTTTCTTCCATCTTCTGCTGCTGAAAAGTAATGCATGTTTCGTTTCAAATGTACCTTACTGGACTACCCTTCTAGTCATTCTATTCTCATTGTGTTTTGCTTTTCATCTACTTCCCTTCGCTTTATGTCTTCATAATGTTGTTATATTATATTGTGTGGCACATTTCTTGGTGCCCCTGCTGTACGTTTGTGTTCTAATAATAACAATAATTCCTGATGGATGTTATTCAGTTAGATCTAATAGGGTGGCCAGTCAACTATTCATTAAACTGTTTAAAACACCCTTTCACTTGACAAGCTTATTTACGTGGGGAGTACGATTACAAACTGAAGGGAATCTACGTTCAAACCACAAATGAACACGGTGGCCAAACTACAATGACACCTCCAGATCGCTTACTACAGCTTAGCCAAATGATATAAAGATTTTATCATGGACTAACATCAGTTGGGGAACCACTGAAAATCTGGGAGCACTAGACAGCTGTTTCGTCCTAGTATGGGACTCCTCAGTAGTACGCACCCACGATCTGGCTAGAGATCAAACTCAACACATTCAGATTTCACGTCGAACGCGTCAACCATTCAGCCACTAGGTCGCTTTCCAGTGGTTCACAATCTCCAACTTCTATGAATTCACGACATAGCGAGACTATCACCCAAGGTACTTAAGTTAGCATCCGCTTCACTTCCGACTGGTTGACCCCACAGGTCACGGCTTCGCATTAGAGCTTCGAGGTATCCATCTGGAAGCAAGTCACTAGGACGAAACAGCTGTCCAGTGCTCCCAAATTTTCAATGGTTCCCCAACTGATGTCAGTCCATGACAGATACTACTTCTAAATTAAAAAAATCCCCATTCATCTCAAAAATACATAAAGATTTTAGTTTATCTTTAGAACTAAGAGGTTTCCCTCACAGCAGGTGAATTAGATAAACTAAAAATAACAAAACTAAGGTGGGGAATCGTCATTCAAATGATCACAATTTTATTTGTTCCATGTCAGCACCATTAACAGTGTCTAGACTGATAGAGAAAAGAAAATAGAAATGCACTTAGCAACCAAATGTCACTTTCGTGCAGCAGGTAATGAGCCACACGTATTTTGTGAAGGCTGACAATACTACCCACCTTCTCAGATGTCGGTATTCAGAGTGGGGTTCGAACTCACGACCCATCAGATAGATCCAATGAAAGTAGGTTGTACGTTGTTATAAGCTACTTTATCCACTCGTGAAATGGATATCCTGAGAAGTTATGTCAGCTTATACAACAAACCAGTTAAGACAGAGCAACGATAATGAATTAGGTAGTTGATAATTGGTTATTCAATTTATAGGAAGGGGATCGCTAACTATGAATATAGATTTCAACAGATCGTGAAAAGGAACTTATCTCCAACAACTCTGCTCAATCAACTACAGAATGTTTACAATCAAATCTGCTCTTCAATGACTTCAAACTAACCGATAAGATAAGTTAAGTGGTTTTGATGACCACTGACAAAGACGTAGCCAGTTCACCGAACTACATGTAATAACCCAAGTCCCCAACTGATCAGCTTACTACACCGACAAGTTTTTTTAAGTCTACTGTAATGACGAAACGACCACACAGAAATAAGGAGACATCTTTATTGTCTCCACTTTATTACCTCTCATAATAAGTAGCCTGATCCTTTTGACATACAAGTTAATTACACACGTCTTGGAGAAAAACAGCACTGAAGAAAACACGAAACATTTTACAAATAGGAAATATATAACTCACTTGAAAACATTTGTATGATCATATCGCCCACCAATACCAACTTCAATTATGCCAACATCTACCTAAAAGGAAAACAGACATCATCATACCAAATCTAATGTTGTTAGTATCTATCTGCTTGAACTAGAATTCGACATCATCTCTTAGAAGACTTCGACAGCATGGTTTCCGAATACCCTACTAACTAGTACCTGATCGAATAGCAAATAAACAGCAACTGTTCATCATCAGAGCTGTAGAAGTACCTAGCTAACGAGTATCGGCCTGTAAGTAAGAAACGCTGCTTAATACTCGTCATCTCTAGATAACCAACATCAAACAGAATGTGTACAACAGTACTAAGTGAAGACACTGATCAGTACTGAAGTGATACTTTGCCTGAAACATAATACCTAGTTAGTGCAAATATAAAAAACAAGGATATCTTTTCTAGCCACAAGCTTAAGCATAAACAAAAACCATAGTAACTAGGTCTTTGACAGAAAGCGGCTGAAATCAAAATCAGCATTCTAAGTCATCATCTGCTAAGGCAGACGTTATAGATTTCAACCTCAGTTTCATGTTCCTGTGTGGGTGGGAAAATCTTATTGGACAATTTTGTCCTTCAACTGACCAATCAAAATAAGTATCTAACTTCTGGCCTAGTGGCTTTACTTTCTAAGGAAAAACTGTATGTAAATGATGTGCCTTTTGTCAAGTAAAGTTGTCTTACCTACGCTCACAGGTGTCGGTCTTCGTCCTCTGGATTTCGCGGCTTAGTGAAGTATCACGCATGAGGGAGAAAAGTCGCTATTTGTAGCCATTCCAGTATCTTATTGCGTTGGTAGGATTTTCGTCTCCTTTTGTCAGTCAATTCCATTCGGTCACTTCAGTCTGCACAAAAAGGGCTTTTTAAAAAGCGTAGTTCAACGAACACATGCTGTTTCGTGTAGGTACACAATAAGCCAAACATATTCTGCTCTATGTGGGCTGACTGCCCTAAACCTCTGCAAGTTGAGCAGATTTTGAACCCTTGACTTACTGACCAAAAAAGTCGATTGCCTAGATCAATGAATAACAGCTCTCTAGCACATACACGTATGATCTCGAACCTAAAGGATTTCCTTTCTGTTATTTAACTTATTGGAAAGTCATTACCTTTTATGGATGAGTCAAAATAAAAGTTCCATAACACAGTTGGATTTTTAAATTGGGTTATTTTTTCAACCTGGATTTCAGTTGACAAGTCGGCTGTAATGATTGGATATGACTAACGAATACGCTTGATTACATCTTCAGGTTTGAAAGCCAAATCAAACTCACGTAAACCAGTTGTAGACACCCTTCGAAACACTCTAATTGCTTATCCTGTTCTATGCTACCGTGGCTGATAATACGATTTTATTGGTTATCCTTCTATGCGTTATGGTGTCTATGCTACCGTAAATATTCAGGCGTTAAGTATTGCGTAACTGGGCTTGATTAAACCGCTGAGACTTGCTCGGAATTTCTGAATTGTATTAATGTACGAATTACAAGTATAATTCTTGTCCTTCCTTAGTGCGTCTCTGAGTTTTAGTCCTAGTCAATACAAAGTCCAGGTATATTACGACAGACGTATATACTACGAGAAGAGTACCAATAATTTTTCTTCCCGACCACATCGTGAGACTTTAACGTCGTTGGTAAGTTAAACACGCTGAATCAATCATCATCATCAAATGATTCTGTCTGAATTCACTTTGATTGGTAAAAACAATTCAAGACAACATTGATGCAGTTGCAGTATGACTATTGCCATCCATGACATTCTTCAGAGAGATCTGAAGGTGTGTGATTGTGGTTTAGACCTACTACCCGTAGGACAGTTATTCGACCTTGAATATGGGGACAACATCATCTTAATGTGTGACAACACACAGGCTACCTAAATCGTACTTCAGCAGTATGGTATGTGCTTTGGACCATCAAAGTGCAAAGTACCTTTCTCAGATTGACAGGAGTTTGTGCCTGCGTTCACCCTCGGTGGTGAGACACTGGAGGTAGTCGGAAAGTCCGTGTATCTGGGTAATTGTGCGAGTGCTGGTGGAGGTGTGAGTGATGAAATTTCTAACCGCATATTGAAAGCCAGAGTGGCATACATCAATTTAAGCTACTTCTGGTGCCGCTGGGATGTTAGTCTGACCGTAAAAGGTAGGGTTTACAACGCTTTGGTGCCAGCAGTTCTGCTCTACATCTATGACACTTAGCCTTTCCAAGCTGAGGGCAAGCGACGACTCTGTATGTTCCAGCATCGTTATCTCTGTAGAATTGCTCGTATCTGGTAACAGCACCGTGTAAGTAATCCTGACGTACGACAGCGTGTGTTTCGGCATTCAATAACTGAAGTCATCTGGAGACACCGGATTTAGTGGCTTGGACATGTCTTACACATGTTGTCTCAACGACTTCCACGAGTTTCATTGTTCCCTCACTGGGACCGGATAGAAGAAGAAGAGGAGAGGTGGTCAGTGTATGACGTGACATCGTGAGATGAAGGGTAGTTATATCGAGTAAGCATCTGTCAGTGTATCACAACCCACCCACCCCCCACCGGGTCAAGTTCGAGAGACCAGGAAACTCAGTGGCTTCAGACGTTATCAGATATGCCTCTGAATCGAAAACAGTAGACGTCACGTTGTGGCTTTCTTCCATCTTCTGCTGCTGAAAAGTAATGCATGTTTCGTTTCAAATGTACCTTACTGGACTACCCTTCTAGTCATTCTATTCTCATTGTGTTTTGCTTTTCATCTACTTCCCTTCGCTTTATGTCTTCATAATGTTGTTATATTATTTTGTGTGGCACATTTCTTGGTGACCTTGCTGTACCATATTTACGTTCTAAAAACGATAAGGATAATACTAATGTTATTATTATGTCATGGTCAATGCACGATTAGCTACTTCAAAACAAAATTTACGCCATTTCTGATAATCCGATTGGAAACTAAGCAACAAAACGCGCAATCTCACTTCACCATATGCTTCTCTGTCTCTCAGATATGAATAGTTGGCTATGTTGAATGAATATTTTGAAAAGATGGAGAACGTTTGTAGTTCAGGTGGATGTTCTTGGTTGTATTGAGTTTTTTGAGATGGATGGTTTATTCGTAAAGCCTTCGTCATCTTTCAAGACATCATCACCACTGACCTCAAGATGAAGTGAGATATCACGATCTCCACCTTAACTGATTCGTTAGCTAGTCTTTATTATTTTTCTTGTTGATTCGTAGATTGGGTCTACGTCCACTGATTTATCTGACTGCCAAACATCTAATAATTCCCCAATATTTTTTGTTTTTCCTCTCTCCAAATTCTCTGTATTTTGCGAATTGAATTCACACCTATAATCGCTCACATGCATTGATATGAAAGACGAAATTTCGTGATGCTTAATTGTCAACTGACATTCATTTAGACGAAGATGAATGTAGCGATATCGAATTCATAACGGGGGAGGAGTCGAACAAGAGGCTGTTATTCTTGGGTGCTTCACTTAGCCACAATCACACCTATCTCCGCATAAGGTTATCCTATCAGAATGACTAACTGATATTCATTTCAACTAATCTACAAGATGCCCGAGTGGCCTGGTGGATAACGCTTTAGCGTTTGAAGCGATGAGTTCGAACCTATGTAGGGACACTATCAGTCACTGAAGCGCAAGTACATTCGCCTGACAAGTGAGTCGCAAACAGGACGAAACGCGCCGTCTGCTAGCCGCCAAGCTGACTACAACTTAGTGAATATTCAGGCAGTATCGACGCCTCCGCAAATGAGCCCACCTCGCAACACACATCGAGTAGTTTGACCCAGTGTAGCAAAAACGAAATTCACAAGAATCAGCACAACCTATGACATATATATTAGCTTGTGTTAAATCTAAAACACCGACTGCTAAACCCCGACTCACTCCTCCAACAAGAGAAACCAACCATATGGTTGAAACCAGTCCATATCCAAATTTAGTGAGACAGACACAGTTAATCAGAACAAAGGCCATATGTGCTACGCGAGTGTATAGAAAGGCATAAGTGAACAAGAGACAGAATACAAATTCAGAGGTGTCAATAGAACAGGAGAAGTCCTGACTAGGCAGCTAGTGTGAATACGATAAAGCGATAGTAACGCGTCACAAATTCACATGATAGTCGGGAAAAACCCATCTATAGTGATTGAAGTGAAGTGAAACTCTAGCCAGCAGTCGAACCTCATAGCTCAGTTAATAGAGCATCGGGCCGGAAACCCGGTGGTCGCTGGATGGAATCAAGCAGCGGTCCAAATTTTCATTTCACCTTCAATCATCACTCAGTACAAAGAACAGGAGTTGGTGGGTGGGTGATGGAGTGACTGAAATGACCAATCACGCTTTCATATTCCACCTAGAAAAGTACTTTTTATAAAATAGAGGAATGTAGTTGCCTGTCTCGTCAGCTGCTAGGGTGACTTTTTTATGTAGCCCGGGTGATGCGATTGGTTACGAATACGAGTGACTTTAAAAGCAAACCTAGTAACTGCTAAAATAACCAATCAAGATTAGTTATTCCGGCTAGGAGAGTAGTTTTCCACCAAATAGAGGTTAGTTATCTGAACAGTTTCTAGGGTGGCCTTACAAATACGAAATTTGTTGAAGTGTGAAGATGGATAGATATAAAAATTCAACTATCTGTAACGTTAAGATATTACTGCGGTGAGAATGGATATAAGTAGTGCATGTGGTTATATTGGAAATGATACCGATCGATTGGTGAGGATTCAGAGAGAAAGATTACACAATATCAGATAAAAAGAGATTGTTTACAAATAGAAAACATCTTTTACTCTATTAGATTCCTTCTAACCATAATTAGGCATCAACTGACAAATACAAATAACATAACACACTAGTGATTTCTTGTGGTGAAGTGAGATAAAAAGTGGTAATTTAAAAGAGGCTGTTTATCGCATCCACGATTGATCAACTGAACGGACTTGTGTAGTAATTCAAATTTGTGTTTATGTTAAGAAGTTTAAAGACTGAAATGTATAGAAAGCTAACGTAGGCTGATCAAATCCTCAGCAAGATTAGCAACAATGCACAAACCTTGTTGTGTGTAGGCTTTACCTAAAAGAGCAAGAACACATTGCAGTACAACTTAACAGGGAATCGAAGAAAACTGCTTGATAACTGTCCTAAAGAAGAAGGGCTACTTACGCAACCTCAAGGTAACTTCAAGGTTATCCATGAAAGTCAGCTGACTGCTCACTCTTACACAAAAAGCAAACCAGAGATTACGACAAGACAGCTGAGGCCAATTAGATTTGATGTACATCATAAACAGAAAAATTCCAACCAGATCATATTACACAGACTGAAAAACATAAAAGCAATAAACATTTAACAAAGTGATCACACTCTTTGTGTTGGTCTACATGAACAACAGATGACAGTTAAACATCATGAAATTTCGCCTTTCCTATCAAGGCATGTGAGCGATTATAGGTGTGAACTCAATTTCTAAAATGCAAAGAGCTTGGACATAAGAAAAACAGGGAATATTAGGGAACTCTTAGATGTTTGGCAGTCAGATAAATCAGTGGACGTGGACCTAATATACCAACCAACAATAAATATGACAAACAGCTATAGGGTCAGAGGTCAGGCATAGAACCAGTCATCAGGTTAGTTGGTTCAGCCAATGACAAATCATCATCGTCAATATCAACATAGGATCAGGCATTACTGCGTTACGGTCCAACTCGCCACACCTCATATCACCACATCAAGTAGAAAGGTAGTGAGGTGAAGGATGAAGATAAGAGAATGCAGTCAAAAGAAATATAAAGTATGAGAAGAAAGAAAAGAAGGATGACAAAATGGTGAGATTCAGTATGGCGTCGTTAAGATGAAGATAATGTGTGTATACATCTGCACCACTCACATCAGTTCTCAGTCATATCCCATCCCACCCCCCAAGAGTCTTCAACCACTGGTTCCTCTTGTCCCACCGACCCCAACCACCTAGTCTGCATCGCCCCCCCCCCGCCCCGCCCCATACACGGCTCAAACCAACAATCAAAGACTTCATACATTGGTGTCATGTTTTAGTCTCGCCACCTCGAGCCTTCTTCCAGCCTGCACCTACCTCAGCCAACATTGTGTAACGAAGCAATCGGTGACTGGGCATACACGTAACACCTGTCCAAACCATCTCAATCGATGAAGGTTCATAACCTCGTCTACTGATTTACCTCTGCTCCCTAAAACTCTACACCTGACTTCTGCATTACTCACGTGGTGACACCACGGAGTACGTCCTACACTACGAAGGCAACGGTGGTCAAACACCTGAAGCCTTCTCATATCTTCCACTTTCAATGGCCATGTTTCGCAGCCATACATTAGAACAGACCGGACTGCTGTGTCGGTACAGTACACGCGACCCTTAATAGACAAACAGATGTCACGGCGGCGCCATAGGTGGCGCAAATTGGCAAAAGCCAATCGAGCCCTTTGTATCTGTGCAGAGATTTCATCGGCAACTGATCCACCGGAGTTGATCCTACTTCCCAGGTAAGTGAAGTGGTCAACACACTCAACCACTTCACTCTCTATTGTTAGCCTCGGCACCACTGAAGACCAGTCCTGGAGCAAAAATTTGCATTTGGGTGGTGAAAACCACATCCCAAACATTCTCAAATTCCCACTCAAAGTGTTCAGAAGACTCTGCATCTCATCAGTCAGCGTCTTCACCTAACAGGACTATGTCGTCTGCATATTCTAGATCTAAAGTTAAATTCACCTGTGATCGGGTCAACGTCTGTGTAATTAGGTGACGAGAGGGAACCTCCATAAGAATATCTGTGATAAAATTAAATAAGAATGGAGAGAGTGGGCATCGTTGACGGACACCACTCGATGAGTATAACTCCCTGGACAACTCGCCATAGGCTCTATCACACCCACAAGTGTTCGAGTAGAGAGCTTTCAATAACGTGATGTACTTACTAGGCACACCTTTCAGTGACAGACATTGCCATAAGACTTCTCGATCAACGGAGTCAAATACCGCCTTCAGGTCGAGAAATACAGCTATTGTCGGGCGTCTGTAAGCATGCCTATGTTCCAGGACCTGGCGCAGTGTGAATATTTGGTCAATACACCCACGGCCAGGTCTAAAGCCTGCCTGGTTTTCTCGGGCTTGGTGTTCCCGAGCTCCACTCAGGCGTCCGAGAATTATAGAACCTAGGATTTTGGATACTATATTCGTCAGGCTGATTCCTCTGTGGTTATCACAAGATGACTTCTCACCTTTCTTGAAGACTGGGATTATGAGTGACTAAGACCAGTCAGAGGGGATCGTATTTGATTCCAATATCCTAGCTAACACTTCCGTAACCTGACTCTACCACCATTCGTGTATACCTCAGCAGGTAGTCCATCTGGTCCTGCTGCCCTTTCTTGTTTCAGGTTACCTACCGCTTTCTCAACTTCTTCTAGTGTCGGGGGACCTATCTCTATGACAAAACAACCAAAGTAACCTACTATTAATCACACACCACTTTGTCAGGATAAGCTAATGAATTACTAGAGAGGAGTGATCCTGGTAGTTCGCCTCATATTGAAGTTAGTGCCGATGATTGTGTCTTCAAAAGCAATGAAAACTTCACGAGTAAACCATCCAGGCAAAAGAAAGCAATGCTGTCAAGAATAACTATTTCGTTTGAGTTAGCTATCATATGGAAGGCTAAATTCACATTCTTGTCAGCAGTTGAGAGGATTTATTAAACTGGAGAGTGTTTCATCACTAACAGACAACACTTAAATCACTAATACAGACCAAACTGCAATGGATAACTGTCTTTTTCCAACATGAGGTAAGTAACTTACTGCACTTTCCAGAGTCAAATGACTGACTAAAGTTGGAGAGATGCATTATGCTGAATTTTAACACTACACAATAAACAAGGCTGCTTATTTTGTAGTAATTTTTCAACCGACTAGCATTTATCTCATTATCTACAGCATTTCATAAAGTCGAAAGGAAAGATGGATGGATATAAATATAGAGCATAGTAAATTCATATCTGGGTTAAAATCACCGCACTTCTCACCAATGAAATCCAACGGTGAGTAACAGGATGTTACGAACATAGTCTTAACAGTGGAACTTACTAGGAACATACAAATTTTTACACTGGTGTATAGAGGTTATTGACAAAATCTGACTGTTTAAACTTCGATGGACGGAGTAGATTTCGAAACTGTAACGTGCTGCTTGAAAGCTCAGTGTCCAACCACGACCCCATCACCTAGAACTCAACAATGACCTTAACGATTTACTATAAAAGCACCGATTTACTCTCTATGGAACTGGAGTATTCGCTAAGAGACACTTCATAGATTAAAATAAGATTACTGTCAGTATCATGGGACTGTTTCTTCATACGTAAAAACGAAGAGATAATGGATCAAAAAAACTGCTCACTTTTTCGTCGACAAACGCTTTGCATGCCATTACAAAAATATAATGAAGAAACGATGGCATCGGTACGGTTGGTGAAGTTTTCTGTACAAATGAAGAAAAAAAGTAAGGGAGAAATCAAGGTCAGAGAAAATATCTTAAAATTTGTAAAGAGGGTTGAATGACTAATCGCTTACAACTAAACAATAAATTTAAGCATGGAAAGTTGGTTATGTCTCTCTGATCATTTTCACCAAAACCAAGAAAACATGGTACGAATGGAGTCACATGTCACTCAGCAGCTTAGTAAATAGAGCTATGATAAAAGCGAAAGACGCCGGTTTGGTTATATCCTCAGTTGGAAAGCCAACACATTATATTGTGAATGTATCAAAATGACAGCGGTATTTGACTCTGTCGACTGTGAGGTCTGACTGTGAAGGAAGTACGGAACAAGTATAATAACGCTTATTAAAGCTCTGTACTCGAACTCAGGTAGCCGTTTCGAGGTATATGGAGAGTTGTCTTCATCGTCATAAACGTACTATTGAGCAAAGCCTTAGGTACATCTGACTTCAAAGGCATTGACCTCCTCTCCTACATGGAGGTTATCTAGCTGACTTGAAGTACAGACGATATTGACCTGCTAGGTGAAGACACTAACAAAATGCAGGGTCTTATGAACGCCTTGAGCAGAAATCTGAGTATGTTTGCCAAGCCCCTTGCAACTGTCAAACGTAAGATGGTGCTGCACAACTATTCTGAAACTACTCCTGTTTAATGATATGAAGTGAAGTGGTGGAATGTGTCGATGACTCCACTTACTTAAGGAGTTTCATCAGCCAGCAAAACGGGCTGGTTGCTGAAGAAATCTCAGCTCGAATACAGAAGGTTCGTTTGGCATTTACCAACTTGTGTCATTTCTGCCACCCACTGGCGACATATCCGGCTAGCTATCAAAGAACGAAAATACTGAGCCATTCCAGTTTGTTATGTTCTGTTATACGGATGTGAGAGATGACCGTTGGAAATAGATATGAAGCGGTTACAGGATATTGATCATAGCCATCTTCGTAGCACTGCTCATATTTGGTCGAATCCCTGTGTGAGCAATATTGAAGTCAGGCGGAAAGTACTAGGCAAGACAGGCAAGTGCATTAATGAAGTTGTGAACCTTCATTGGCTTGGATATGTATTGTGCATGCAAAGCCACCGCCTACCTCGATATGCCAAGCCAGGGGAAGTTGGATTATGTCCAAAGATGGTTCAGCGTGGTCAGACCAGGACGTGGCATGGTACCTTTTACTGTTGGTCTTAGTTGTGTTGGAAGATATAGACTACCTGGTTTGGATTCCTCAGACGATCGGAATGAGTTGAGGACTCTTCGTGACATAGCTGAAAATCGGTCGGCCACAATGACGTCTTCTAAGGCTTGAATACCTGCACTAATCGTTATCTTCAGGATATTTATTCTCCAATACAACTTTTTCTACTTTGATATCACTCTGATGCTATCCACTACTACTTTGTACACTACTGTGAAGTGTGACAACTCGAGCTGATACACCTGTGTACAAGGGTGTACGTAGATTTCGTCAGTCAGTTAGTCAGTGTCCAAATGACGAACTTTAACTGCAATGAAGCGTTTTTTCCTGAATCGCACTGCAAGGCAGCAGACAGAGAGACAAAATCAACGCAGAACTACACACGCAAGTTCATCGGTTCAAGTTGTCACACTTCACAGTAGCATACAAACAACAAGTGGATAGAAAAAGACTTACAGCAAAGTAGAAAACAACAAGCATATAACAATAAGTAGAGAAAAGTTTGCAGAAATCTGAGACTTGATGACTCATTGAAGATTTTCAAGGCTTATGATAGCGCAGGGTTTTGAAAATTTCGAGAGGTTATCAATCTGTCAGCATATATTGTTCGTAAAATAACCAGTGGAATATGGTGTATGGATTTTTCGCAGAAAGCATCTTCTTGAACAACCCAGTAATTTCTAAAAACAACTAATGGTCCGTCAAAGAATACCTTCATAGTTTACCAGGGTTACGTTTGCAAATATAAGTGGTGATCTAAGTGCAAAACTTGGCCATTGTAGCATAGTGTAATTTTATATTAGATCTGTTTATTTGATATACAGCACATAGTGAGTGATACAGCATTATTTATTTGATAACATTTCGACTAATGTAAATTATTCCTCATAATCTTATCCACGTGTTGTGATTGATATGATTATAAGCAATAATTTTGTACTGGGTGATGATTGAAGGTGAGCTGAAAATTTGGACTGCGGCCGGATTCCAACCAGCAACCATCGGGTTACCGGTCCGATGCTCTACCAACTCAGTTACGAGGTCCGATTACTGACTAGAGTTTTATTTCACTTCAATCCCCATGGATGGATTTTTCCCGATTACCATGTGAATTTGTGATGCGTTACTATCGCTTGATCGTATTCATACTAGTTGGCTACTCAGGACTTCTCATCCCAATCCAAATCTAGGTGGATTAGAGAGGTGGAGCATCATATTGATTATCATTTGACTGTCTGAGATAGCCGTAGTTTGGTAGACCAATATATATACTGGGTGATGATTGAAGGCGACTAGGCAGCCAGTATGAATACGATCAAGCGATAGTAACGCATCACAAATTCACATGGTAATCGGGAAAAATCCATCCATGGGGATTGAAGTGAAATAAAACTCTAGTCAGTAATCGGACCTCGTAACTGAGTTGGTAGAGCATCGGACCGGTAACCCGATGGTTGCTGGTTGGAATCCGGCCGCAGTCCAAATTTTCAGCTCACCTTCAATCATCACCCAGTACAAAATTATTGCTTATAATCATATCAATCACAACACGTGGATAAGATTATGAGGAATAATTTACATTAGTCGAAATGTTATCAAATAAATAATGCTGTATCACTCACTATGTGCTGTATATCATATAAACAAATCCTTATATGAAATTCTTTACTTACCGTGAACTCTTCAAGTGTATCACGTACATTCCAAAACACATTTGCAAACTTTTTACGAGACAAAGGTTGTCCGTTAATCCGAATCCTTTCTTCTATATTTATGAGATGAGGAGAGCTACAAAAAAAGAAAGGATTTGAAAAGACTTATCAATTTACATGTATGTGTGGGCACACATACATCAGGAGGAGTAATCGTTCAATGCAGACTAGGGTGGGTGAACACATACCCAAATGGCTAGAAAAACAGTTTAACACACAAACTTTGATAAGTGCAGGTGACAGACATCCATCGTCATCTATAACAAAATATATCATTGAAATGAATCACAGGGTTAATACGAAAACAGCGTTTAAGATAATATACAGGAATAATCAGGGGCGTATACTGAAGTTTGCCGAAGCGTTAGCCATTCGTAAACTTAATCCCCCGCTGTGTGTACAAAAACAGTTTGTTGTTTCACTTAATTTACCTTGGTAATCCTTATCTGATTATGTTACCAAGACTAGTGTCACAACCTTTTCATATTCACTATATTTGACCTTTAATTTTCATATATAAATTGACTTGACAAGTAAATGTGTGATCAGATTATTCGAAATGTATTGCGCAAATACATCACATTTTTCAGATAATCTTCGTCTTCTAATAGCGTTATCGAAAGACTTATCAATCAGTTCAGTGTGTTTGTGTGTTTAGGTACATTTGATAAACATTACACTGGTTTACGACAATCGGAAACAATCTATCTGGTTTTAATGCTTCAAATTGATAAATAATGAATGCTCCACTAGGATATATTCACTTCAAATGATATAAAAAGGATAACTGAACCCACATTTTGATATGGATGCATATTTCCCGTGAAGGTAAACAGTCAATTTCATATAATAGTAGTATATATTGATGCTCATTTTACGACATTCAATCTAGATTACGTAATAAATAAAATGAACTGAACTGATAAATGACAAGTGGAAAGAAGGTGTTCTTATTGTAATAGAAGTGACCTTTTCCCAGATATAAACAAGAGATTAAATAATGCAAACTGTCATCTGTCTACCACAATTCAAATGTTTAGTTAGGCGTAAACTTTAACAAAAATAAGTTGACCAGCTAGTGAGATTTCAACGGTTACAACTTCTGTTAAAACAATTCTAACAGCTAGAATAACCTTCTAGTGCTGTTAGGTCCTCTGAGCTGGATGGTTTAATCCCGAGAGTCTTAATTGTCATTCTACACAATATCATCATCACAAACTTCAGAAAGAGGTCAGCTATAGGATTTTCCTCCACTACTAGCTGGGGAGCTTGTCCTGACGACCATGTGTGTGATTGGTTGTCCTGAGGACGGAAACTTTGACCTTCTTGTTGTTGTTTTTTATTCGTTTATAGATTCGGTCAATGTCAATACACCTGTTGGTCACTGACTAACCTGAATGCTATGCTTCTAAAAATGCTCTGGCATCTTTTGTGTTTTATTTCTTCTATCCAGCATTTTCACATTATCCCAGTCAAATTCATGTCCACAGTTGTCCATGTGTATTGATGTAGGTGAAGATATGTCATGATGCTTCACTGTTAGATGGATACGAAGAGGGTGATCACTCTACCTGATGTAGTGGTTTTTCTCAGCTTGTTCAATTTCTTTTGTAGATAATGTTTGTTTTGTTTTCCTTTGCTTTTGCATCTTTTGGCTGGGATAACAGAGAGTGAAGAGATTTTGTGGGTTTGTAAGATACAGTGATTCCAAAAGGCTTCAATAATCTAGTCGTGATATCGGAGGCATTCCTCACATAGGACAAGATTACCCGTTTGTTGGTTTTTGAGGTTGACGATGAGTTATGCAAACATCCTTTGATGAAGTTGCGTGGATAGCCATTCTTCAGCGATGCTAAGTTCACAACTGAAGGGGGATCAAATAACAAACTTGCATGTTTAAGTGTTCAGATTACTAGATCGGATTCGGGAAAACTCGAAAATGAAGTATACAGAAAACCAGCTCATACCGATCAAACTCTCAACTACAGTAACAAAAACCCAATTCCACGCAAGTTCATCAAAAGATGTTTGCATAACTCATCGTCAACCTCAAAAACCAAAACCCACAAAATCTCTTCACTCTCTGTTATCCCAGCCAAAAGATGCAAAAGCAAAGGAAAACAAAACAAACATTATCTACAAAAGAAATTGAACAAGCTGAGAAAAACCACTACATCAGGTAGAGTGATCACCCTCTTCGTATCCATCTAACAGTGAAGCATCATGACATATCTTCACCCTCATCAATACACACGGACAACTGTGGACATGAATTTGACTGGGATAATGTGAAAATGCTGGATAGAAGAAATAAAATACAAAGGATGCCAAAGCATTTTTAGAAGCATAGCATTCAGGTTAGTCAGCGATCAACAGGTGTATTGACATTGACCGAATCTATCAACGAATAAAAAACAACAACAAGAAGGTCAAAGTTTCCGTCCTCAGGACAACCAATCACACACATGGTCGTCAGGACAAGCTCCCCAGCTAGTAGTGGAGGAAAATCCTATAGCTGACCTCTTTCTGAAGTTTGTGATGATGATATTGTGTAGAATGACAATTAAGACTCTCAGGACTAAACCATCCAGCTTAGAGAACGCAGCACTATTAAAATCATCCTCTGGAGCTAAAAATATTCTCCATCAACCAGAATATTCTTGTATAGATCTAATATAAATACGTTAGTAGGATATTTCACTAATACGGTACAATCCTAATGAAAACTCCGTGCTTCCATAACGACGAACGTTATCAGCAAACTTGGATTTTTAAAACCAACAAAAGCAACATACAGGTGTATATGTGGTCAATCTGGAAGGTAACTGTTTTCACGGTGCATGGTATTTACAAAAATTGTTTCAGGGTCACTTTACTTTGCTCACTCAAGATAACATTTTTAGACAATAAGGAGTATCATCTGGTTGCCTTTATCTCACCAAATCGCCATAAATCTGTTCTCCGTTTACTACATTGCCATCTACGTTCGATTAGATTTATTGTTTTAATGGGTGGTGATAACACTGAAAATATATACACTAAAGTAACTCAGAAACCACAAGCAATTTCGTGAAATAAGCAGTGAGCTACACTTGTTGTGTGAAGATTATTGGTACTAACTAGACGCGAAGATCTCTATAGGTGTTTGGCATAGATGAATACAACAGACGAAAACTAAAATCAGAGGGATATATCGCTTTTATAGTACTTTGCATAACCTTATCGCCATCTTCCCCTCCCCTCAAAAAAAAACTCCCTCATGTGAAACTTCGAAGACTTAAATACACAGACAAGAATTATTTCACTCTAAAAATTAACTATCATTTTTATTATCTGAGATGGCCGTGGTTTAAAAGGCTAGTACTCATACTGGATGATAATTGAAGGTGAAATGAAAATCTAGATCGCAACCGGACTTGAACCATCGACCCCCGGGGTTTGTAGCCCCATCCTCTGCCAACTGAGCCAATCCACACCTATCTCTCTAATTCACTTAGATTGGGATCGGGATGAGAAGTCCTGAGTAGCCAACCAGCGTGAATACGATAAAGCGATAGTAACGCATCACAAATTCACATGGTAATCGGTAAAAACTCCAGTCAGCAATCAGACCTCGTAGCTCAATTGGTAGAGCATAGGACCGGTAACCCGATGGTCGCTGGTTGGAATTCAGCCGCGGCTCAAATTTTCATTTCACCTTCAATCATCACCCAGTATCAAAAAATTATTTGATACATCAGAGTCGTTTAACCCTTACTTATATCTGATATCACCCTGAAGATACACTAAAGATTGGTCATGCTTACAATACCGTTGGAAGTACATGCTTTTCTGGTCACTAGATGATGGAATCGAGTATATGAAGTCAAAGAAGGGATTACAAGCATGTTTTGAAAGTTATAGCTATTAATTTTCTCGATTAAAATGACTAGCCTTTATTTGGTATATGAATGTAGTGCAGATATGCGACGATATTTCCATATGCTGAATTATAATAACATTGGTTGACGGTGACCGTAATAATTTATCAGTTCCATAAATAGCATTGAACCTCAAAAGCACAAGCACTGAGCCCTAGAACATTAACACCTACTTCGATGTAAATATGTCCAGCTGATTAATTTCAATGCCATTCAATCCTATTGTTTTTAATATTCAATCAATATCAACATAGGATCAGGCATTACTGCGTTACGGTCCAACTCGCCACACCTCATATCACTACATCAAGTAGAAAGGTAGTGAGGTGAAGGATGAAGATAAGAGAATGCAGTCAAAAGAAATATAAAGTATGAGAAGAAAGAAAAGAAGGATGACAAAATGGTGAGATTCAGTATGGCGTCGTTAAGATGAAGATAATGTGTGTATACATCTGCACCATTCACATCGGTTCTCAGTCGTATCCCCCCCCCCCCGAAGAGTCTTCAACCACTGGTTCCTCTTGTCCCACCGACCCCAACCACCTAGTCTGCATCGCCCCCCCCCCGCCCCGCCCCATACACGGCTCAAACCAACAATCAAAGACTTCATACATTGGTGTCATGTTTTAGTCTCGCCACCTCGAGCCTTCTTCCAGCCTGCACCTACCTCAGCCAACATTGTGTAACGAAGCAATCGGTGACTGGGCATACACGTAACACCTGTCCAAACCATCTCAATCGATGAAGGTTCATAACCTCGTCTACTGATTTACCTCTGCTCCCTAAAACTCTACACCTGACTTCTGCATAACTCACGTGGTGACACCACGGAATAGGGCCTATACTACGAAGGCAACGGTGGTCAAACACTTGAAGCCTTCTCATATCTTCCACTTTCAATGGCCATGTTTCACAGCCATACATTAGAATAGACCGGACTGCTGTGCCGGTACACTACACGCGACCCTTAATAGACAAACGGATGCCACGGCGGCGTAAATTGTCAAAAGCCAATCGAGCCCTTTGTATCCATGCAGAGATTTCATCAGCAACTAACCCACCAGGGTTGATTCTACTTCCCAGGTAAGTGAAGTGGTCAACACACTCAACCACTTCATTTTTAATATTGGCACAACCCATACTTTTTAATCACTTAAAAATATTATAGTGATGGAATGAATTGATCACTTGTTGAATTTTACATATTAACAATCAGTTTAAAATACACATTGTCAAAGATGTACAGTTACTAACCTTAAAAAGCCAGTACGTAAACCAGATTTACGTAAGACATTTTCAATCATTGAACACACTGAACCTTTACCTTTCGATCCAGTAACATGTATAATGCGTAAATCATTTAGATGATGATCCTGAGTGGTAATTTATTAGATAATTTTGAGACATACTTCTATTCCTACAGCAGAGCAATATACAGAAGACAATCCATTTCTCTCCTCCCTAGATAGTTTTGGATTTGATGAAGGTGAATAAAAATTCGATGATTTAATATATCTATTCAGTTCATTTAGAGCATCCTATGTATGTTTATAAAACTTATAGACATACTTGATAAGAGCGAGTGAAATGTGGAAAAATTTTAAGTAGACTCATTGGGCGGCAAAAGGTATTCCTAGTTGTATTATTCCCCAGTAATCTAAAAGTTGATAAAAAATCAAAAAGGGTCAATTAAATTTTTATTTAACTAGATATCAACCAAATTATATCCAAGCGACTATTAAGAAAGTAAGTAATTTAGCACGTGCAAATAAACAACTCACCACTGAAACTGGGATAACTTCAAATGTATATAACGGTAGTATGTGTCAGCTTGAACAAGTAACTCCTTTTTCAGCACTTGTAGAAAACATGGTAAAGAGATATAAAGATAAATGTAGAACGGGTATGATGTAAATTAGTTACTATATACAGATCCACTTAATCGTCTGCAAGTCGAATCGATTTTGAAGGTTAACAATACCTCCGTAGCTACAAGAGCAGTGTATAACAACTAATGATCCATTCAGCTGATCGTTTAGTGAATATGGTCTTTCAGATCCGTGTTCCACTGCCTACTCATAATAATTATGATATTCCTTGTATCAGATTTATTATTATAATGCTTTTTCCCTTCTTCAAATTTTTATTGGCTTGAAATCCCAATTTAGTAGTATTTGACAATACATTGTTCTGTAATGACAATATGTGACATTTTTAGTGTAAAATCTGTGCTTTGTTACTTCAAAGTAGTATTTATCATAGACTAACTCATCAGTTGGAGAAGCATTGAAAACTTGGGAGCAATGGGTGGTTGTTTCGTCCTAGTACGAGACCACTCAGAGTTGCGAACCCATGACACCGTCAGGGATCAAACCATGAACCTTCAGGTTTCGCAGAGAGCATGTTATCACTGAGTTACCAGGTCGAAATTGAATGGTCCACATTTTCTTACTTTTGTTAATTCGCGATCTCCGTCCGATGCCTTCGCCTTCAGTACTTGTCCTAACATCCAACTTGGTTTGTCTCACTGGTCACGACTTCTCATCATAACTTGGGGAAATCGCGTCTTGGGTCACTAATGGGCACTGGACAGTAATTCAATTTGGAGGTTTGAGGGGATTTAATGATTTCAAGGTAGTATGCATCATTTGTCAAGAGGCTTGGACTGTGCTCCGCCTACCGATATTTGGGCACACACACACAATAGGTGTCGTTCATTGCCTATTGCACGATTGTGTACAAGCTTTCTGAGTGCATTTTGGTTTCGGTCGGATACAGGGAAAACAATAGGAATTAAGATCAGAACAGATTCTGTGAATGCAATGGAAGACCTATCCAAAAGAACATACTCTTTAATTCGTGAGAATAAAATATCCACTGCAGTTGGTAAAATGGAAATCAACACAAGTAGACTACTTCAAGAAGTGAAACCCAAAATCAGTTGCTTTACTTGACTCAAACTTAAAACTGTTCTACACGTCTTTAGGATTCTAAAGTCTACACAAAATCCCAAAACCTTCAGTTCTGTTGAGGTTAATTGTAGATTTACTAACATGTTAATATACATTCTCTTTAAATATCTAGTAGCAATAGTAGAACTCTAAAATTAATCGGAATCCAACGAGAAATCAGTTTCACTTTATAATCCACAATATCGACACCTATACCCGGTGGCATTGATTCATCAAACACTATCATTTTAGTTCATCAAAGCCTTGATATTATTTCTAATTTATTAAGTTTGGATACCATTCCAGCAAAAAGGTCTCTACTGAATACTAGTGATACCACAAAAGTCTTTAAATTTGGTTTGGAAACTAATTACTTCACATTTAAGGGAAAATTACGCTGATAGAATCACGGGTGGGCTATAGGTTCACGTGTATTACCCAAATTAAGGAATATATTACTGGGAAAACTTGAACAGTCTTCCCGCCCGTACTAGGACCGGAAATCTGGCGAAAACATGTTGAAAATACATCTGTAGTTTTGAGAGGTGAAATGTACCACATATTCTTCCATAAGTTGAACATAAGATCTACTAGTACCAAATTTAGTTCACAAACAGAATCCTAAAGTGGTGAACTATTCTTTCTTGACTGTCTAGTTAGGCATACAGAAAATAGATATCTGGACATGACTATTTTCAGGAATCCAACATACTCGAAAAAATATCAGAGTATAATTCATTACAGTCCATGAACGGGTAAAATTTTCTGTTACCTCCAGTATTTTAAGGAGGGTGCGAATTTCGGTAACGTATGGAGATAAAAAAGAAAAGGAATTTAAGTAAGTAAGCGAAACTCTTGGACCAAATTACTATTCGGTAAAATTCGTGTGTGAAATAGAAAACATTAGACTAGACTGTAAAAGTACTTGAAAATCATAGGCTTCAAAAAGGGCTATTCCATGAGATGAGGTCAAATGGGTGCAGTACCAGAATGGAGTGTTCTACAGACATAACGAACACACTAAATAGCATCTTGGTCCATGTAAAGGACCAAATTTCCCAGGATTCATATCATAATTGTTTACAAGGTGAAATAAGCATACTGCGGTGCAGCATACATATGAGAGACTTCAAGTGATATCAACTTCAGAAAGAATAAATACCAACAGTTTAAAAGGCTTTCAAACATTTGAGTCTTAGCCCTACACTCTACAACTCTGGGTCACATGGCTGACTTCGATAATATTGGAATCATTCAAAAAGGCTTTAGAAATCATATATAAGGTCTCGTAACAGAATCTCTTTATGTAAATTGGAATAAAAATGGTCTAAATAAAAATACGGAGATAAAACAGCTTGACTTCACTTTCGTGCGAATATTCAAGCTTTCAAAGATGTCAAGAAGTGAGTGCGTCCGTGCCATTGTGACCGACCGGTTTTCAGCCATGTTACCAAGAATCCTAAACCACTGATTCCGCTCGTCTCGGGTATCCCATCTAGGCAGTATACATCTCCCCACACGACTCAGACTGACAGTTAGGAACTGCATGAACTGATGCCACATCTTGGTCTGGTCACCCTGAATCACCTTCCAACCTAATCTGGCTTCCCCTAGCATGGCACATTGAGGTAGACGGTGACTCGGCATGCGCAGTACGTGTCGAAACCATGTAAGTCGACTAGGATAATACTTCGCGCATGCGTTTTTCAGAGACACAAATATACACATAATTCGGCAAGGCTATTAGACACTGAGCTACACCTTACAAGAGGGTATATCATACTACCTAGCTGCTTAAACCTGTGGGTCTGAACCTGTGACTTAATAGCTAGACATCGGTTATTGAGACTTACGGAGCACCGAGAAGCAGAGAATATTGATGTAAATTACTGTAAAGTAAGCTAAAAGAAATAATTTGTGTGTGGTTTACTCAGCAAAGACTACGTATAGCTGCATCAGAACAGGTACTTTCGAAAAAAAAACTTTAAATGAAGGACTTTACGTGATCCATTTTAGCTAAACTGAAACTGAAAAGGATTGTGCAAACCTAACTACCAAATACTTTGACATATAGTGATAGCGTAAATGGGAATGGAATAAAGAGCACGAGACAACTAGGCATTAGGTTTCGAGGTAGACTTTGTCAAACTTTCTTCACTTCATCAAAAACAACAGTACACTTCGTATAAGCAAAGTGTTTTCGGATCATGGAGATTTCTCGGTTAATCAGGCTTCTGTGGTGAAATGTTTTGGTTACTTGAGCAACATCACATTCAATCTTGAGCACAAACTCCCAGATGTTTTATGTCTAAGTCAAGATAATACATAGTTTGAGTTCAATATTACAAACATCAAGTATTTTCCTCTAATTTGTAAGAATATCTACATATTCCTAAGTAAAAGAATCACTGATCCCAAAAAATCTTACGAAGATTAATACTTTCCATGGATCAGTGGTAATAATTTTATGCTTACTGCGTATGTTAACAATGAAACCGTTTTATAGTCGGAACTACCAGATGGCTGTAGATCTCTGAGTGAATATCTGAAGTTTTTACAGAAGTAAAATAGGTACCAATTAGTCACTGAGCATGGGATTGATCACAGAAAAAGTGAGAAGGTTTGGATAGCACGAAAATAGACGAATTAGTTAATGCCTTTCTCATACCATATCTGTTGACATCTGTTTCTTCACAGCTCTTGATGTGTTACCTAACACCTAACAAACCTCACATAAAAAATCGAGCACCGCTTCCTTCATTTGTCACAGAATGCCGGAAATATCCTCAAATGCAGTACTCGTCTCGTTTTTAGTATAAGATACAGCGGCTTTTATCGAGAGTTCTCTTAGTGTGCAAGAAACATCCATCATGTTCATAGTCAGGCTGCTGAGAGAAAACTAGGTATTATTTAGACATATTACGGCTTAAGATGGGGGGAAAATGTGTGAGTCACTTCTAACATTTTTGAAATGCAAAGCACCGACCTAGAAGACACACTGAAACCTTATTTTTTAACAGCTGTAACACGACAACAGTTGTAGAATTTAGTTGCAACTTTGCGTTGAAGTTATGCAAACAACTCTGGTTTTTACAATAATTAATAAGAAATCGCTGAATACTTTATGATACTATACATTCAATTCTGGTTGCAGATCTCTCCCTGCGAATACTCCGGTAACCAAATCCAGTTACGGATTCTATCTAAAGACAGCAAAACTTTATCAAATATCTGAGCGCTCCGGGCTTCATTTTCCCTCGACATTTTATATGCCTTCAACTCTTATTGGTTATGTAACTTGTATTAACTAACTAGCATGGGGCTGATCACCATCGCCAAATTACTGCTCAAAGTGAGTGATGACGCACACAATACTCTTCAATTATGGCATGCAAAGAAATAATGTTTAGCCAACATTCACAATAGATAATACAAAAACTATCCCAGTCCCGGGAGATTATACATGAAGTGATTACTTACGTTCCACACACCTTCTTAGCTGTACTGATAGCAATAAAAATGAGACATTGCCCATAAAAATGGCTTGCCGTCACATGATACGTTATCCGAAACAAATTATTATTATTATTATTAATTTGGGTGTGCTAGCTGGCGCAAAACTCTGTCCATTTTTCATACGCATATTGTTGCAGCACGAGATAG